TCTAACCAACTTATTGAGGAAAGGAGAATTCAACTGGGATGTTAGAGCCACTCAATCCTTCCAGTAGTTGAAACAAGTGTTGTCCACAACACATGGTTTAAGATTGCCAGATTTCTCACAATCTTTTGTTGTCGAAACTGATGCTTGTGGTGAAGGCATAGGAGTTGTCTGTAACAAGATCAACCTATAGCTTACCTTAGCAAAGCTTTCTGTAACAAGAACAAAACTCTATCAACCTATGAAAAAGAACTATTGGCATTGGTAATGGCAATTACTAAGTGGAAGTATTACTTGCAAGGGAATCATTTTGTTATCAAAATAGATCATTAGACCCTTAAAATATTTGTTGGATCAGAAAATCACTACACCTTTACAGCATAAGTGGTTAGTTTTGGGTTTGGATTATGAGATCCATTACAAAAAAGAAAAAGACAATATGGCTGCTGATGCACTTTCTAGAAATGTTGGGTCCTTGGGTGATCAAGTTTGTGTTGTAACTACTGTTCAACCTTTATGGTTACAACAGTTAGCAAGTAGCTATGCTAGGGATGAGGAATCACAGAAAATGATTTTAGAAGCTACTCTGGACAGTGACAATAATCCCCAATTGTAATATGTGGGAGGCTTGCTCTAGTTAGATGGAAAGATCTATGATACAAATCTTGAGGCAAAGGTGGTAGATTTATCTTGACGCGGAAGATATGAATTCCCCAAGACTTGAAAACTTGAAACACTTGAAAAGAAAGAAATAAAAGAATGCAAACCACAAAAATTTGCACCAAAAAGGGATGGAAAGGTTTAGAAGATGTAGAAAGTGTTTAAGGCTAGCAACCCAATTGGTTTTCTCTCTAACAACCCTATCCCTTCGATTTATGGATAGAACAGCTAGGGAAAAGGCTCCAATAAACAACTAACAAAGCCTCACACATATAGAAACACCTAATCAATGTGCATGTATCAACAAAGCACAAGCTAGTGTGCAATGCACTAATTTTTGAAAAGAATAAAAAAAGAACAAAGATTTTCCTCTCGTCTCGTATTGAAATATCAAATTCATCAAAAGGTACATTGAAATGCTGGCCAAGCACCCCTATTTATAGTAGAGGGTGGCCAAAATTCTCCTGCAAATGGGGAGAAGAATTTGATCTCTAACTCTATTTCTACTTTAAAGAACTAGAAATCAAATTAATCTCTAATTGACAACTTGTGCCTTATCTATTAAGGCAATGTATCTAGACACCTTTATAGACTTAAGACACACTAGTCTCATGAAAATAAAACTCCAAATACAAAGAGATATCCTCTCAAAAGAGTCTTATCCGTATCTTGAAAAGAATCTTCCTGAGTTGTCAACTCTATCAATATCTTCTGTATAGAATAATCATAGACATCCAATCTTGATCTAATCTTCATCCAACGGTTGAGAGTAGACACCAAGTAATAGACTTCTTATAGTGAATAAACTCTAAATTAGATAAAAGAGAATCATGTCAAATCTTATCATTCCATGTAATAAGATTTAAATGATCTTATCTCTAAAAATTAGGAGATATAGATTAAAATTCGAAAATAAAAAATACTTCAAATTTGGAAAATTTGAAAATTCTGCACTTTGTTCGTCGGCTTCTTCGTCGACGTCCTCTTCTTGGCCCATATTGATTTTGTCGACTTTATTGTCGCTCGATGCCAACCGTATTTTGGCTTTAATCTTCCATCATCCTTGATATTAACTTCTATATAATTCCATTCAACCACTGTATGATCAAAATCAATATAATGATCATCATAGTTAGGAATAGCCCTTAGTGGCCCATCCAGGATCACATCAATCTATGTGGGAAGTCAAGGTGAAATCAGAACGTTGTTATTGGATTCTTTTCATTCATCTTCTTTGGGTGGTCATTCAGGTCAGAAAGCGACATAACAAAGACTGAAAAGTATGTTCAATTGGAAGAATATGAAGCAAGATGTGGAACAATTTGTGAGGAGTTGTTCTGTCTGTCAGGCTAGTTAGGTGGAACAAGTTCATTATCCTGGTTTGTTACAACCTTTATCTATTCCTCAGAAAGCTTGGCAAGGTATCTCTATGGATTTTATTGAGAAATTACCAAAGACTACAGAAGGGTTTGATTGCTCGTTGGTGGTGGTAGATAGCTTGACTAAATATGGTCACTTAATACCATTAAAACATCCTCTTACTGCTAAAGAAGTGGCTGATAAGTTCCTAAAAGAAGTGTACAGATTGCATGGTTTACCAGAATCTATTGTACCTTACAGGGATAAGATCTTCACCAGTTATTTCTGACAGGCTTTATTCAAAATCATGGGAGTCAAGTTGAACATTAGTACTGCATATCATCCTCAGTCTGATGGATAGACTGCAAGACTGCACCAATGCATAGAAAGCTATTTGAGATGTTTTTTGTCATTCATCTCCAAATACTTGGTCTCAGTGGATTTCTTTGGCTGAGTGGTGGTATAACACTACCTTCTATTCAAGTGATAAAATGACTCCTTATCAGGCTCTTTATGGTTATTAACCTGCTGGAATCCCCCTGGGAGCTTATCATGATGTGATCATACCAGCAGCATCTGACATGCTTCAACAGCAGCAGGAGATCATGCACAGGTTAAAGGAAAGTTTAGCAAAAGCTCAAGATAGAATGAAATGTTATGCTGATCAATTAAGATCTGAAAGGAGCTTTCAGGTTGGTGATATGGTTTAGCTGAGGTTGCAGCCATATAGGCAACAAACTCTGGTATCAAGTAGTTGTTTGAAGTTGATGTTAAGATACTTTGGTCCTTTTAAAGTATTGAAAAGAGTGTGAAATATTACCTACAAGTTAGAACTGCCTCAGGGATTCAAAATCCATTCTGTTTTCCATGTGTCTTTGCTTAAACAACACCATGGACCAACTCCTTCTACCATTACAATGCTGCCAAGGATTGATGATCCTGAAGCTTGTGTTTTAGAACTTGAACAAGTGTTGCAAAGGCGATTTATTTGGAGGGCAAGTCAACAAGTCATTCAATGGTTAATTAAATGGAGCTGATTGGATGTGGAAAATACTTCTTGGGAAGACTGTCCTTTCATCAAAGGTCAGCTTCCAGCTTTTTGCACTTGAGGACAAGTGTTGTTTAAGGGAGAGGGAATGTTATGCCCGCCAAAATTAAGTCGACAAATGGTATTGAAAATAGAAGGAATTGGCGCGGGGCAAGACTTACTGCATTTAATAGGATCATGCCCGTGATCCATTTGTTTATTTTATCTTCAAGCTATAAATAACTACTTAGATTGTTCTAGATGATAAAATCATAAGAATTGTGTGAACTCTTTCTTTTCAGTTGTAACTTGTAACCACTGGAGCCCTTCCCTCCGTTTGGCTTTTCCGACTGATCTGTTACCTTTCCGGTACCAGATAGCTCCATTTCTGTTTAATACAGTCCATTTCCAGATTAAAGCATAACAACAACATGACCTGATTTTAACTTGTTAAAAAAGAAGCTCAACCCAAAATTTTAGCATCTCTTCTCCAAATAACTTAATTCGGAGGTGTTGAACAGGAAAAATGTGACAAACAAAAGGCGGCCGGAAAATTTTTCTGATGTGCCGGGGGTGCTCAAGCCTACCCGAGCCCCAGTGTAGTTCCGCCACTGTATGAGAAATGCAAACTTAAATAATGAAAAATCTTCTTTAACACAAAAGTCTCGGTTAATCTCGATTCATTTTGGTTTAACTAGTATTTACTAAAGATATAGTAATAAAATTTAAATGGGCAGTATAGGCTAGGGCGTCGGAGTATTAAAGTTTCAAGTTCTGGTAAAGGTATTAGGAGTTTTATACATTTAACTTTTAGGAGTCGAATTTAAGACATTTGACTCGATCAATCATTCAACTTCAAGCTTAGATTGAGTTCAACTTCATGCTTATATTACACTCTTTTCGATTTGTAGGTGAAAAATAAATTTATTAAATCAAATAAACGAGTTAAATCACAATTTGAATGGCTTTTTCCCGTTCACAAAATTACTCATATGTACTTGACTCATACATTTTTGCCCTCGAAACCTAACTTCTTCTTCCTATTCTTCTCCAACTTCCAAATTCCTTTATTTTAAAACAAAAAATAAAAACCTTCAAACTTCAAACTCAGATCTACAATAATTCGGAGGCTCAAAAAATAGCGAAACACGCTAAACAACTATAGGAAGGCTTGCCTTCGATTCCGGTAAATTTTTTTTTATTTCTACATATATCCTACTCTCACTCCCTTCTTTTCTAACATCCGCCAAATTATTTCTCTACTAATCCTATAATACATTTTTTCAAGGTCAATAAAAGTAATATGCAAATCTTGTTTTCTCTTATTAAAATGCTCACAGAATCTTCTTATTACATGTATAGTTTCCGTTGTTGATCTTCCAGGCATAAAACCAAATTGATTTTCCATTATATTTGTCTCTAGCCTTAACCTAGTTTCTATTACCCTAACCCACAATTTCATTGTGTGAAACATTACTTTTATGTCCCTATAATTAGCACAATTTTATATAGTTTCTTTATTTTTAAACAAGGGTGTTAGTGTAGTCTTCTTCCAAAAACTTGGACTCAAGAAGGTTTGTAGATACTGATTCTACCGAAGCTTTGAAGCTTATAGATAGCCTCAAAATTGAAATTAGTGTGGATCCAGAACTTAGGGTCATCCGGAATCTTTTGTCAACTAATTGGGATGTGTCATTTCTACATATCTTTAGAAAAACAACTTTTGCACCTATGTCCTTGCAAAAGATGCACTAGCGATTAAAAGGGACATATATTATTTTGATGTTTCCCGAGTAGCATAGCTTAATTAGTAAATGACGAGAAGGGCGGAAATATAGGTTTGAGCGAAGACTCATACTTGTTTGTTTGTCAACCAAAATAAATAAATAAATAAATACGGAAGGGTATAATTGACATTCAATAAAAGATTTCATAGATTTATCAGTGGCCTCTTAGTGTTGCCTGTAATAGGCTAATAGCGGGAATTTATTGCTTTTGCTTTCTTGTGATTTTGATTCCTTTCTTTCTCAAGCATAATTCAGAGAAAGGACAGAGAAATGATCATTTACACTCTTTAGAAGTTAGTTTTATTAATCAAATTACTCGGAATTTTCCCCAAAAATCTGAACAGTGAACACTATTGTCACTGCTCAGTTTACCAAGAGACAAAGCATCAGACCAGCTGTTGTTCATCTGTGAAGCCCAATTCCCTGCCATTTTAGAGCAATATGGCCGCATTGAATCCACTCTTTAGCCAGCTTCAGGTTTAAATCTTTCGATTCCCGCACCTCTTGATTTCATTATGTTTTTTTTTTTTTGGCTTTGTTTGTTGTGAATGGAGGAGGGCTCTTGAATCGATCAAATTGCTGAACTCCGTGTTTTTGTGGGTGTAGACGGCAGAACCCTTTTTCGTACTTGCCGGACCCAACGTGATTGAATCAGAGGAGCACATTTTCTACATGGCCAAGCACATTAAGGCCATTACTTCCAGGTAACTCTGAGAAGATTCTTTTTCACTGTTGCGGTTTAGGCCATTTTGAGATCTTTTGGTCGGTTTTTTATATCCCCAATTCTATGTGTTAGTTATAATTGAAACTTCTATTGGAAGACATTTTGAGGAATTTTAATGCGAAGGATGTCGTAAAGTTTGCATTTCGGAGATGTGATATTGATATTTTTAATCATCCGTAGAAACTTAATGTGGGGATTGGAGTATAATTGCCCCTTTTAGATCTGATTTGGCATTTGTCTTCTCATTTACTTGTCTGGCATTTCGATTTCAAAGAGGGAATTCCAAAATCTTTTGCCTCTGTGGAGTTGAGTTTCACGGACTAATGGAACTCTAGTGCCAGGAATGTAACAAATTTAAGTTTCATTTGTAGATTGGGAGTGCCACTGGTGTTTAAGTCCAGCTTCGACAAAGCTAACCGGACTTCCTCTAAATCATTCCGTGGCCCTGGATTGACTGAAGGCTTGAGGGTAATCATTTGAAAAAACATTCATATCCTGCATTTTTTTTTTTGGAGACTTCTGAACCCGATGTATTGTCACTTGAAAGAGCAATCTCATTATTCACAGGCGTGGTTTTTGTTAGAAGGACTTCTCTCTCATAAATACTGTGCAAATGTGGTTTATGTCCCCCTTGTGTACATCGAGTGCTTGAAGGCCTCTTTCTGATATTGAAGCTTTCCGTCAGTCAAAACTCTAACTGCTGTTTCGTCTTGCAGATACTTGAAAAGGTGAAACTAGCATATGACATTCCAATAGTTACTGATGTACATGAGACAATACAGGTAACTTCTGTTAGTTTTGATGATTTTAAATTTTTTCTGCCCTCTGCACATTTTACTAATTTAGTCCATCACATGCAATCCTTTAGGTATGGATATCATCCAAAACTTATCAAGAAGACCTCTTTGACAACACCTTAATTTAATCTGCTTATTTTAGGATAGCTCAAAATTGTGTTCATTTGTTGCATTTAGAAAGTAGCATTAATAGTAGGATGTTATTTTATTCCAACTAAGACACTTTTCTTTGGCTGTTTATATTTAATGCATTCGGAGTCCACTTTATCACTTATAACCTTTTTTTCTCAGTGTGAAGCAGTTGGAAAGGTTGCGGACATAATTCAGATTCCTGCTTTTCTTTGTCGTCAGGTAATACATTCTGAATTTTTGTTCCAAGGCACTGCTTCCTTTGAGGACATAATATTTGTCACAGTTGGTATACTCTTTTGTCTCATGACTTGAACAATATATTGCGCTTGTACCCGATGACATTGATAACAATGGCCTTTTGAATGACAGACGGATCTCCTAGTTGCCGCTGCCCAGACAGGGAAAATCATCAACATTAAGAAAGGACAATTCTGTGCTCCTTCTGTAAGTGGACATTCTTTCCTTTTTATAGTTTTCTTATCTCTTACATTAACTAAAGTTATTATACGATATACATTTGTATGCCTACATAGTGAATCATAGTTGGTTAATTTATGATTTCAACTAATATTCAGGTCATGGTAAATTCTGCTGAAAAAGTTAGGTTGGCTGGAAATCCAAATGTCATGGTCTGTGAGAGAGGAACAATGTTTGGATATAGTAAGTTCTCCTGAAACTCTTGTCTTGTGATATTTCTATACCCTGATATTTTCCTGTATATCTCTACATCATATATCATTTTCGCTCCGTTTAATAAAGATGTGTTATATTTAGGTTGCCTGTATTGGTTTGCACAATAGATAACATTCTCTTAGTGGTGTTTTACTGTTTCATGTTGCAATTTTTGATTATGAGACTCAATTGTTTACTTACACCTAATCCCCTATTTTCACAATTGAAAGTGCTGCTTGAGTTGTTTATATTATATTGTTTATAAAATTCCATGAACTTGCTTGAAGTTGGGTTAAAACTTAAACAATGGGCTTTCTTATTGTCTTACACTATATCTTGCTTCGCAGTTGGTGCTGTAGTGGGCAGATAATTTCATTACTTACACACATTTGAGAGCTTGAGGGAGCAGTTTTCTTTAATATATGTTCTCTAAGAATCTTCCTCTGTAAACATTTTTTGTGCTGGGCAGATGATTTGATCGTTGATCCCCGCAACTTTGAATGGATGAGGGAAGCCAATTGTCCAGTGGTATGTTACACATTCATTAATTTTTTCTTTTCTGGAAATTAGAGGAATCTCCTTCAATTTGTGGTTTGAACTAATTTTTTGTAAAAAGGGAAAAAACAAATTGCAGATACCTTTATGTAGCTTTATTTTCTTGAGCTTCAGCTAGCTTTAATTAGCTATCATCTGCAGGTAGCTGACATAACACATTCACTACAACAACCTGCTGGGAGAAAGGTGCGCATACCTTAGACTTGTGATTGAATCTTGTAATAGAACATGTACAGAAGATTTAAGAAGCTCATGTTAAATGTTGATAGATTTTGAATGGTGTGAAAGTTGCTTTACGTTGCTTATTTTCTCCACGAACTTGCAATTCACATTGTGTATTTGGGTATCTTTGCGAGTAGGATGACTAATTTTTGGAGTTCAGTTGTACTTTCCATGTTAACCACCACAACCTCCCCCCCAACCAACCATTTTTTTGCTGATTTTTGTAACTTGGTTAACGAGTAACTCTTGACAAGTAGAGATGCTTTGTATCCCCCAGTCCGTCCCCTCTCTTCCCCAAACACCCTTTCACTGTACAGACAAGAACTTTCTTGAAACCATTTAAAAAAAAAAAAGAACTTCCTTGACAGGAAGTCAGGAATAAGACACAGTACAACTTTCACTTGAAGAGTGAAATACCTAGGAGGTTAAGCCAAGCCAAGTGATAAGTTTATCTTGTTAAGTTTTGGATGAAATTCTAGAGAATCCTTCTTTATTTTCATTTTATGTCTCTACATAAATAGTTACTGGTTAAAGCACTTTGATGTAACATGACATGTTCAAGGTTTGATTGCTCAAACAGATGATATGAGGCTAAAAATTCAAAATTCGTTGCAGTTATTACGATAATGCCTTGAGCCTTCTTTTCCTTGTTTTCTCGATTTATAAACAGCTAGAAGGAGGTGGTGTTGCTAGTGGTGGTCTCCGAGAATTGATACCTTGCATTGCTAGAACCGCGGTTGCTGTTGGTGTGGATGGCATTTTTATGGAGGTATACTGATTGGTTGGACACTAGGCCAAAAGTGTTTCCATTTGTTATTAATGTTTTCTTGGTTTGAGAAGTGATAAATATTGAACAAAAAATATATAATATGCTCAAAAAGTCTTGACTGTGAGCTTCCAGCTCTTGATGTGCAATTTCGTTGAACCTTTTAACTTTACCAGTTGTTCTATGTAATGGTTTTCTTGGATTCTCCAACTGATTCCCGGATTGCCCTAGGCTTGTTTTTGCCATTCTTTTTCTTCTCGGGGAGGTATTGTTGCTGATTATTTTATTCCTAAGAGCTCTTTTTATATTTGCTTTTTCACATGTGGTGAGATGACAAGCAGATGTAGGCCTGTGAGTCTGTTTTCTGTTGGAGTTCATTGTTGAAAGTCATGTGTAGTGGTTGTTTGGAAGTTGCACTGCTATAAGTTGCTCCAAAACTTGCCTTTCTAGTTTCACTATTCCTAATTCCATGTTTTGAGCAGAGTCTGTAATAATCACTTAATTGCTCTTTAAGTTTTAGGATTTTTTGCTTATAAATTGGTTGGCTGTAATAGCTCCAGGAGAAGTGGAAATTGTCGAGAGATGAATTGTAGTGGTTGTATACTGGAGTTAGCTGTTTCGCTTTCATTTATTATAAGGCAACTATATTGTGGGTAATTTAACAACTAGAAATCTCCTGGAACTCCCTTGGTTTCTGTTATTAACTTTATAATGGGCTCTTCTTTACTCGGCCCAAGACTCTCATTCATGACCGTTCTAAACTTCTCATTCCCTATCTATAGATTCTAGATACATCTGCTCCATTTAGCTTCCTAATAGTCCTAAACCCAATTTATGGCTTTTCAGGTGCATAATGACCCCTTAAATGCTCCAGTTGATGGTCCAACACAATGGGTGAGTTTGCAGCCTAATATGTTATTTTTTATTCCTATGATGACAATCTGTGTTCAGTTTTGAAAGTCCTTGTTCAGGAAAAATTTTTCTTCCAGCTGTATATTACTAATTTTACCTTCTTTTCTGAATTGCTTTTTTTTTTTTTTTTTTTTGTGAGTAGCCACTTCGACACTTTGAGGAACTGTTGGAAGAGCTTATTTCTATTGCTGTAAGTATTTACCTTGTAATCCAATCTCGTGATGATAAATGTTCACATAGCTTGGTGCTTTAGCACTTGAAAATTGGAACATTTACTTAGGCCTTAGAAAAACGCATGCTTTAGCCACCCGATTGGAGACTCCCCAACTCCCGGGACCCTGGATGCTCTATTCCACTGATCACATATGATTTAAACCTTCTCTTTTAAATAGCAGTAGAAATAGGGCACTTTGTTTTTTCAATGTGTTGCCCAACTAGTGATGTTCATTACCGTGGATTTTCATGGTTTAGCGACTTTTTGTCATCACTGTTGCACCAAAACCGTCAAATGTGATGGTTTATTTCACTTGGTTGTGATCTGGAATTTTGCTTCTGCAGAAGGTTAGCAAGGGGAAGCAACAATTTAAAATTGATCTCACTCGGTTCGAAGATTGAAGATGCTTCAGAAACCCTTTCCAGGTATCCAGTTTTATTCCAATACTGCTATTTCCTTTCTTCCAGTTTCTCGGTCATTTTGCATGAGCAGACATTATGTAAACGTGAAAAATAGGCTCTTGCACGAAGTTGCAAACGATGGAATGAAAACAAACCAATACCTTTCAGATTCTAATAGCTAAAACAATATGCAGGCTGAATGTGCAACGGCATCTTATTTTGTGGCGCATGTTTCTGATGAATACAGAAGTTTGGACAGCACAGTGCGATAATCTGAATGCTTCATTTACTCAAGGGTCACACATAGGGAGGAGAGGCGTGTCATTCATCTCCAGGTGGTCTGCACTATATTCTCTAGTCTAGCTAAAAACAGGATGTTTTCTTCTTTTTTAATTTTGAAGGTAATGTGTGAGCCTTCGTTTTCCTTATTTTTCCTTTTTTAAAACAACGCTTAAGTGTACACTGTATACTGTACTTTGTCATTCATAAGTATTCAACGTGTGATTTTACCCTTGTCATTCTGTGAACACAGGTTCATTGGAATGAATGTGAATATTTTACCCATCTCAATGATTTTGACCGCACTTCCTATTTCCGTCCAATGATCCGATTGTATTACTCCCTCCGCTGCAAAATGATTCTACAAAATGATTCTATATTTGTTGTTAAACAAAACGGAGAATGGGAAGGTGTAATTTGAATCATAGAACTTATGGAACTAATATTTTAAAAAAAAAAAAAACTTTTAAAAAAGTACCTCAATTAAAATCCGCACTTACTGCTATTCATGCAAAATCCCTCGAGACTTTGTGAGATCAAATGTCAGAACTGAAGCTTAATAACTAAGATATAGTCATTCAAAAGTACTCACAATTAACATGAAGAACCAACCAACTGCAGAAACATTCTTTAAAACAGTCCAACTGATGCAAAACAATATGCAACATCATTAAAAAAAAAAAAAAAAAAACCTGTGTTACTAAATTTGTTGATAAAATATTCAATTTTCCCTTCACTAATTCAAATACATGCAAGGATGACATATTCCCAGATAGTATCTTAGGCATTTGCTCCAAGCAAGGTCATAAGGAAATCCTTGTAATCCCCTGATGTGTCACCAATAACTGCACTATCAAGACTGGATTTGTTCTGCTTCAAATATTCTTCTCTGACTTTCATCATGTCAATTTCAGCTCGAGCCAAGATTGCCCTAGTTAGAGCATCTTCATCTGTGCCGAACCCGACAATTGAAGCTCTAATCACCTGTATATTTGAATAATTGGGTGATTAACATTGAGTTAACAAACATCAGAGGCATTACAAAAAAAAGAAAAAAAAAGAAAAAGAAAACAAACAAATGAAAATAGCAAGTGTGCACTTCGAAGGTTTCATAGTTGTGATGTTTAGATTGATGATCATGTAAACGAGAGAACGAGGTTAAGCTATCATTAAGAGTTTGTGTCTTGTCTCACCTCTGCAAAGTGCTTTTCAGGGGAATTAATGCACCAAATAAGCACCTTCAAAACAGATTCCAATGTGCCTTTTCCACATTTCACGATATCCTGCAAGAGAAATGTCATCATTTAGAAAGCAGAAACAGGAATGTGTCTGGGCAAACAAATAACTGTCTGTTGTCCTCAACCTCATCTATGGGATTTCCATAGTTTTTCTCGTAAAAGCGGAATGTTTCTTTCAGCTGGAAGACATTTCTTGTGCTTAGGATTAAAATGAAATCATCTTCATCCAGTTTCTTTGTCTTGATGACTTCATAAAGCCTGGCCGCCTCTGAGTTGGCAACATCAGAATCCACTAACTCTTTATCATATCGATATGAACGGACTAAGTTAACCAAAATCTGTCAAAATTACCATTTTTGTTAGATAAAACTACTGGTATATATAAGAGGCAAAATTAGCATAACACAACTCAACAAAGTTACAAAAAGAGCATCAAATTCAGGATATAGACTGACAACATATGCAGGAAAGGTTTAATTAGAAAGAATATGGGATGATTATTTGTCTCAGTCAAAATATTAAGGCTGGACCTGATGGTAGCAAATTAAGACATGGCTAAGCAGCGCGGATGGTTGAACTTAAAATCTAACTGCCAAGAAATATACTATCAATCATTGGAACATGCATATTCAGATGAGAGCTGGAAGAAAGATTCCTCTAGTTTCAAGAGGTTTATTTCGAACACCGAGAGAGACTTTACCTTCTGGAGAGGCATCGGAACATTCAGAGTAATATCTTCTTCAAGAGAGTGGTCAAATAAAGAGGCATAAGCTTGTCTTACAGCCATCAGATGGTGAGGAGAGGATGCACAAGCTATCTCAACTAATATTTGTAGTTCCTTAACACCTTTTCCCCTTGATTTCAAGACTCCATTTGCTAGCCTTGCATCTCTTTCGGAAGGATCATATGTCCATGAGATAACGGCATTCTAACAGTCATCAGAAAACAAGCAGTAATTACTTCAACCATGTTAGTTAAACTAATGGACAGGGATTTTTTTTTTTTCTTTTTTACTAAAATTGCATAAGGCTTTTCATATATCACTATTAAATCATGCAGATTAAAACTTCTGTCAATCTTCAATGGAATTCTTTAAATGAATGGGAAGAAACATAATAAGACGGGGAATGGTCTTTGTCATCATTTTCAACATGCAGATACAGGTTCATTTTCAACAAGCAGATACAGGTTCATTTTCTCTTTGGAGAAGAATAAATCTTAAATCTTAATACTGGAATTCTGAAAGTTGCAGCTTTTAGCACAGGAGGAGCTCTCTTATAATTTCCACACACAGAAAACTATCCCACGATTCAAGAGGAAGTTCCGCTATCAACAAAGACAAAATCGTGCCTCGGGTATCAGGTGCCATCATATATACGTTAGTACAGTAATGATAAGCGGGTTCAGCTAAATCTTGGACATTAACAAATTCAGATACCTATTGTGCTTTTGCTATACGAGAAATGCATCATTTTCCTCTGATTAGTCTCTTGATATAAAGGGCCAAATGAAAGAAGATTAACTTTGTAAGGAAAATGTATTTTCATTTTTTGTTTGATCTAATTTAATTTTAGCTTCTAGGAGGCAGAAAATTTGTATAAACTGATCAGATAGGGAAATCATTTATCACGGTACGGGGCAGCAAAGTCACAGATGATTTAGACTTTGAAGAAATCACAAATAAGAGTTATAACTCCAGAGCATCAGAACTTTCTTGAAGTCAAACAATGTGACAAGGAAAGCATCCCTTTTTGAAAAAGTACCAAAAAACAGAAGACAAAAACTTTGAGAGATCTCTCAGATCATTTACAGCATAAATCAAATCAGTGAAATCAAAACCAAAGTCAAAGCCATGAAGGGCTAAGGATTCAGATAATCACCAGAAAGATCAATTGAGGAAGCAAACTATAGAGAATATTAGTGAAGTTTGACATTACCCTGAAATCTCCAGACAATTCAGATTGCAGGTCCTCAATCAAAGACTTATTGTAAAGCTGCTGATATGTTTCCCTAATCTTCTTCCTTTGACTTGCATTCCTGCGACCCAACACCTTAATGATCGCATTTTCATCGGTCCCAAAGCCTACCCATGAACCCAGAATACATGAACAGCTCAGAACAACATCCAAACATGCAGCACTAGCAGGAATTGTATGTACTAGAATTTCAAATAAACAGAAACCAAAACCATCTGAATTTCAGATTAATCTGATTGTAACAAACAATACTTCTTAATTCAGAGCAGGGGCCAAAAAAAAAAAAGGAAAAAGAAACATATGCTAAAACAAAACAGGATTAGGTGAAGAACAAAAAGGTTGGACCTTGGAAGGCTCTTCTGAGTCTTTCACAGTCTACTCTTGGAGTGGGAACATCATCTGGGACTCTCAACGTAGCCATGAAACCCCTTTTTTTTCCCCCCGGAGCTGAATGCTGATTTGGGTTATGATGAAAAATCCGTTTCCAAGGGAAATTTCAAGGTTTTGAATGCAGAATGAAGAGATGATTAATGAATGTCGGTTTCACCTTTGAAAGTGGCAGTTTCTCTCTGGTTTTTGGATTGCATTAATTGTTGTGTTTTTTGTTTTCTTGAAAAAACAAAGAGAAATGATAATTGATCAGAAACAAAAGAAAAATTCTTTTCTATTTGGCTATTTTGTTTTCAGTGTCCCCCCAGTTTGGTGAGATGTTATGATCATCATTAGGAGATAGATGATCAACGTGTTTCACCTGGTTTTGCCGATGTTGTTAGTTCACTCTGGTTATTTATTTAAGAGTACTTATTTTCTTAATGATAATGATGAATACAACAAATGAGTTCATAAATAGCTGACAAAAACTTGATTTTATTCCACAAAATCTTCAAGATACAATTTTAAAATCTATAATCTATATCTATAATACTTAATTAAAGCAGCAAACAAAAAGGACATGTGTCATCACCACAATGAAAATTTTCCCGCCAAAAGTCATTTTCAGTACAAAATCATTTTTGACATATGGCACTCTAACTAATCAGAAAAAAAGATGAAATAAATAAATAAATAAATCTCTTAATTATAGCTACAAAAAAATTCATTAATTATAGGTATATAGTAATCTCTTAAAACAATAATATTGAGTTGATAAAATCAAATATCAGAAAATCTCTTTAAATCAAGTGAAACAACACTGTCACCCAATCTCAGATGATCTTTTCCATTCCGCTCCTCTCTCAGACTCGGGCCTTCAAATCAACTACTTAAAATCTGATATCAATTATCAATTCATCTCTTTTTACAACAGAGGAAAAAGAAGCAGTCATGGAAGAAAATTTGATCTTTTAAGGATGATTTGTTTTTTTTATTCTTCTGTTGTAGATATTGGTTTATGAGTTAGGTAAATCTGGATATAAGTTAACTGTTGTAAACCCCGGTATAGGTTTATGTGTAATAACTCAGTTCCTGTCCTTTTAATCGATTTTTTATTTTTCGATTTTTATTCTTTTAAAGACAATTTGTTTTTTTTATTTAATAGGTTTAAAAGTAAAGGCGGCACCCCGGGCGAATGCAGTAAACACAAAGGACACGTGTCAGCTCCAAAATGAATATTTTCCCTCCAAAGCTTCTCAGTACAAATCTGAAGCAAACAAAATGAGACATGTGACACTCTAAAATTTCAGAAAAAATGAAGCCTTAAGTAACCCCAAAGCTTTACTTCTAATTAGGAAAATAAGAAAAATTCTAAACAGTTTAAATTAAATAATAAACAAGATAATAATTACTCCACAATATCAGCTACTATCATTGCGTCCAAAAAAAAAACTACCTTTTGAATAGCTTACACAACATAATTCTTTCAGATATGATCAAATCCCTAAATTATCTCCTATCAATCATAGTCCATGTTTCAAATTTTAAACAGAGAAGATTGATCTCTTTAGATTTTTCTTATTTCATATATTATTTCTTTTCAGTGAGAATCCCTAAAGTCCTCTCTCTTTCTCTTCCTCCCACCGATCAATACCTCCAACACTGCCGCCACCGTGCCGTTGCCGTCAATTTCTCCTCCCTTCTACAACAGTGTTGTTTCGGTAGGTTCTCTTCCTCCGCCGACGACTCATACCACGCAAATCTGTTCGAATCACTTCCCAAATCCGGACAAGATCAATAGCAAACGAAGAAGAACGACCAGAGGTGATAACTCCACGAGCGTGGGCAACTGCAATTTCGAAAAGCTACAGTCTCAGATCTGAAGAAATTACAAATCGCAACAATCAATCGATAGCAGCCGGTGTTGGATGTTTGAAAATTAATCAATAGCAGAAGTAGATTTTAAATTCACAAGGTCAGATTGATTTTCTCCTTTACAATCATTTTAATTGAAATTTGTAATTTATGGATTTAAATTTGGTCCAAAACACTGATTTTGATTAAAGATTGATACTTTTTCTTGATTCCCTGTGTTTCGTTTGATGTCTGGAGCAGGTTCATGGTGTTCAATTGAGTCAATGAAATGGCGAATCTCTTCGAGTCTATGAGGAGCATTTTGCATGTCTTACTTCCTTAACCTTTTTTTTTTATTTTTTATTTTTTGCCTTAAGAGCATTCCAAATTGGAGATGATAGGTAGTTAAGTATAGGATCTATACATTGACTTAATTTCTCAGGTACTGCATGTTGTTCTTTGCAGGATTGCAGCCAAGGCATTGGTCTATGGGGAAGCCGAAGATGGAGAAAACAGTGAAACTCTACTCATGAGTTTGTCTGGTTCTTTGGAACCCTTTTTTCTGTGATGTCGGTGCCTAATTATTTGATTGTCTTAAACCAAAAATCTCATTGCCACAAAAACTTAAAAATCAATACATGATAGAATTAAACCATTCTTAAGATGAATTGAAAATAGAACACCATTTATGCATTACTATTTTGATATGGAATTTTTGTATATTTGTTAGAGTATTAATGGTGTTTCTGTGATAGAATGCTTCAGAAAACCTAAGAAAAAAGATTCTATACCAGGCGGAGTGTCAACAGCATAAGCCAGTGGTTTTAGAAGCGTTAATTGTTGTTTCTGAAAAATTTTACGATTTACATGTTTTGGAAGCGTTAATTACTATTTGCTCATCCATGCCTCTTTTCTCTTAATTTTTTTTTTGTTTGGTACTTATTTTAAGTCCTTTTTTTCATGAAATTCATTTTCAGCCTGATATAAATTATTAGGTGGTTTTGGTCTTTGTTTTCTCTTGAATTGATCAAAACTTTTGTTGCTGTATTTTTTTTAATATTGGATGTCTTTGTTATTTATTTCAAAACCTCAGTTTCTTTTAGCATAATGATATTGCCAAACTTCATATGAAGGGAACATCTTATACAGCTCTCTCATTTTTCTTAATTAAACTATTTGAGCCCACCCTAACAGTATAAAAGTAAGGTCGAAGATACACATTTTCTATTATATTGCAGGCATAACTCAGTTTTGGGTGGAAGGTCTTCAAAAGGAACTTAATGAAGGCTGGTTGAATAGATTAACCTTTAGGTGGGTTGCTGCAATATGGCTGAAAAATGAGAAATCGTTTTCACTAGAATATGCCATTAAAAGAAGTTTTGTAATCAGAAATCTTTAGCTGGGAAAAGCTCAAATGTCGAGAAAATGGTTTAATGGCTCTTTGATGTAAAACCTCTTATATTTGTATTGTCATTGAGCTTTTATATTTGAGTGATATATGTTATTGAGTGACAAAGAATAAAAAAGCTTAATTTCTTTTCTTATTCATGGTTATGGCAGATTGATGCTGCTCAAGCTGTTGCTCGGGAGGCGTATTTTATTGCTATCTACGGTGAGAAAATTTACCCCTTCTAAGGTGATTCTGAATCAATATTGGTCTTTGTATGATGTGTGAGTATGGTGTGTGAATAATTTTGCTTTCACCTTGGTCTTTCTATTTGTTTACGACAACAGTGTGTCTTTCAAAATGTAAAGATTCGTTGGAATTCTGTTATTTAGAAGAAAAAAAAAATTGTTTCGGCGTCAAGAAAAATAGTAAAATTGTTATTCAAATTTTTAACTCTTCGTTGTTTTCAACCACGATCTTTATCCGACCCAATTTGCAAACCAAATAATTGATATGAGTTGATATAATTTTGCAGAGAAACAGAGAAGCATCCATGGCAATTTGCTTTATGCACTCTCGAAGGACAGAGTGAGAAAAAGGGCCAAAAAGTTTAAGAAACCCGTGACCAATTGCAAAATCTCTATCAAGGTATGCTCTATAAAACTACAGGCTGCATCAATAAGAATTGACGGCTGCATATAATTTGAAATCCACTTGATTGTACTCATCAAGTTATATCTCATGAGTGTAAGACTGTTACTTCATATTGTTATTCTTGGAGTTAAACGGCTGTCAAATTATTTAAGATGTTTAAAAATGATTGTGTCATGTATATTGTTGACAGATTTAGCTCCCTCTCAGCTTTCTTACCTACAACACCCAATAAATTAACAGTTCACAATTTTTACAGGTCTCTATCATGTTCACTGTGCAGTTAATTCTACCATACATGCACATCAATGAGGAAGTCAAGTTGATCACTTGCTAGCTTTGTTATCAAACTCAAGCTCAGAGTCAAATTGGAAGTAGTAATGAATCTCCAATGAGTCTGCTACATCTACAAAAACTTATAACCCTCACAAACGGGTAGCGTCTTTTGAAGAAAGACAGTTCGAAGAAGTCATTACTTACATTTGTTTGTTTTTTTTGGTTAATATTAGTTACATTTCCTATTTGATAGATCATATTTGACAGTGTAGTAGTGTTTTTTCACAGGCATCATGTTCTTTTGTATCAAATTTCAGATTTTTTTTTGGTTTTCGATTAGACTGTCAATCTCAGTGCTGTAAACATATGGTATAAATAAAAAAAATCTAAACTGCCACATACTATAAGTTTTATTAGTTCACATGAATTTTTTTTCTGTTGTCTTATAAATATAATTGTAACCATTTGAATTGATGCCCATCACGTTGATACACTATATAATATTCCATGCCCTCGATCGTGAAACCTTAATATATGATTGTGTTGGATAACACTTTTACATGCTAATGTGTCACGCAGTGTTAGGCATTTGATGAATGTGAGAAAATTTAAAGATATTTCCGTCAGTGCCAGATTATGAATAGTAATGATAACAGTGTTAGGATTTTTTTGTTAGGAATGATGATAAGGTTAGAAATTTTCTTGATTTGGTTATGAGAATGAGAAGGTTTGTGCCACATTAATAGAGCCATTAATTCTTACCTTATGATTTGTTTTGTTTTATTTAACCGATTTAATATGAATGTAACATTAAAAGCGCTCGGGCATCCGCCCTGGCCAAGCATCTAGTCTAGTATTACTATTAGATGATATAAATTTTAGCTCAGAAGTCATGTCACAAATAATTTAGTTGTATTGGATAAAGTCCGTTTGTCTTCCCAGCACGCAAAACCAATTAAATTACTCAAGTTCTATTTGGGTGTAATTTTCAAGGTTCGGTATCTCACTCTCAATCCTCATCCTACAATCTCATATATATATATATATATATATATATATATATATATATATTGGAAATGCAATCTCATCAGTGCATTGAATTGTTTTCTGTCCTTCGTTATTCATTTAATTTCATAATACTATAATCTGAGTGTTGTACAACTTTATAATGTTCCAAGGCATTTTTCTTTCATTTTTAAAAGTTGATTAATCGTGCTTTTGAAACTTAAGGATAAGGGATATGTAATTGTTCATTGTGAATGTCTTAATTACATTATAAAAAAAATGCTTAACCTAGTTTATCCCCTATCTATACGATCTTGATGATATCAAATTCGATGTAATTTGACCAAGAAGTTGTCCAAGTGATAAATGGACATGACATCAACCTGGAGATCCCAGGTTCAAACCCCACTAATAGTACCTTATGTATTGAATTGTGCAAGTTATCTTACATCCCCCAAAAAGGTGTTCCGAGTACAGACCATACTAAAAAGAAAACGATATATACGAATATATCTACGCGTCATTGCTCATTGTTAAGTTATGCCCATCTCTAAGTCATCATCATCATCATCAAATGATACTTATGGACTATGGTCAGTCGGCAGGTGTGCTGAATTTTGCATTGCCTTTCAAGCATTCATTTTTTGAACTACAATATATGAATATTTTCCATCCTATTTTTATGGTTCACTCTGTTGCTACAAACTGTGACTTACTTCTTCTGTTCCAATTAAAAATGAAACTTCAAAGATACATTTTCACATTTATGGTTTTCTTTTAATTATTATAAAATATTTTATTATTTTATTTTTAATTAGAAGAACACGATAAATGAAATTGAAGAGAAATCAAAATAAAAAAGAAACAGAAGAAGTATTAAAGTGCGACATAAGGATTATATATACGGTTTTTTTCTTATAACGGACAAAAATTACATTGGGTTTATATATAAAGAACGTTTTATGAGATTTAGTCGATTACATAGGTAAGAATGTTTTATGAGACTTAGTCAAAGTATTATTTTATTATTCTTATAAAAAGCATAAAATAATGTTTTATTTTGAATAATAAAAAATCTAACGATTTGGCTGCTGTTATTGAAAAAAATTAAAAAAGGCTAAGCAAATTGTGCCAATGCCACAAGCAACAAACATTTGGTGCCACATTTACTAGAAATAATACTTTGGAACCAAATTTGTAATATTTACAAAGTTTGGAACTAAGTAAGAAAAGAAAATGCATTTTACGAAAAAAAGATGACGCCACACTCATTGACACCCGCTATAGGCTTATAGCTATACTACAGTACTACACACTGACGCCACCCATGTTACAATAGCAGACGAAGAGCCCATTTTTTCACTCTTCGGTCACGGTGCCGGAAAAAGCACTGAAAAGTAATCCGATCATTCCACCGATCTGCTCTTGTAGCTCCGATAACATTTGGGGTAATGTCCATTTTTGTTCCCCCTAAACCTTCCACATTCTCTCACTCTCAAAATTTTCACTTCTTTTAGCATGTTGTTCGACGTACCTTTCCGTTCCTTTTTTTTTTTTGGTTAAATTTTCAACGTTCGATTAGTCTTTCATCGAACACATTTGGGATGGAATTCTGGAATTTTAAGCGTACACCGGCTGTTGATCTTTTTAGCTTCCTTGATTTTTTTTTTTTTTTGTTTTTTGCTTTTTCTTTTTTCCTTTTTCGCTTTGGTGTTTTAATCTTGCTTCTACTTTTGTGTTTTGATCAGCAAGGGTTTCTATATTCTTCCTCTTCTTCTTCTTCTACTACTTTTTGTTTTTTTTTTTTGATTTTTTTTTTTGGGTGCGCTGTGAATTCTTATTTTGCATTTGGTGTGTTGTGTTGTTTCCTCTGTTCTAATGGTAGCTCTTGCTCTGGTTAGACTTGATGCATGAACGCTTAGGTCTCCCCTTTTCCCTTTTTGGCCTCAGAAACAGGGAAATGGGAAATAATTGTTTTTAGGTCGGTTCCGGAATTTGATTTCTATGGGCTGTTCTTATGGTAGCTCTTGCTCTGGTACATTAACATGAAGGTCTTCCGTTTTCTTTGGGGAAAAATAATCTCCTCAGAAATCGGTTTTTCCAAGATGGGTTTTCTTTAGGTTTTTAACAGAAAGAAAAAATCATGGGTGACACCTGGTTTTAGGTTCAGATGCTTGTGTGTATAGTTGACTCTTTGGTTCTGCTGGGTCTCTGAAGTACTCGAAGCTTCAATTTTAATTTATAGGGCACTATTTCTTTTGGGTTAGTAGAATTTTGCTCTAGAGAAATGAATTTTAGTGTTGGTAATGTGTGCAGGGCATGGCGTCTTCTGATGAAGAAGGGGAAATTGTTCCTCATTCTGTTACGAATTTCCATTTCGTTAACGACAAGAATGAGCCAATTTCGTTCTCTGTGTTACCAGTTAAGTGGAGTGATGATGAAGAGATGACTGAGTGTTTCTCTCAAGACAAGATATTCTTACTGGGCACAGATGATACTGGTCTGCAGAAGGTATACAAGCAGGTAGTTGCCTGGAAATTTGACCTGTCCTACGTGCTGCCTGAGATATACGTGCTCTCTAAAGATCAAAAGTGGATAAAGCTGGATAAACCAAGGAAAAGTTATGAAGAAATCATCAAATCGATTCTAGTCACAATCCACTTTCTGCATTGTGTTAAAAGAAATCCAAGGGAGTGCCAAGATACTGCCATTTGGTATCAATTACTGAAAGCCAGGCAAGCTAAATCCAGCCCGGAGCTGTAGCTTTCCTCTTCCTTCTTTGTATCTTTGTAAAGCTAACACTAAATCTATCTTGTCTGTCATATATGTAGGACTTTTGAGGTTCCACCTTGTGAGAAGGACCTTTCTGGCCATATGGAATTGATTAATGAAGCCAGGATGAGGGACAAAGATATTGCAGAATCTGAGGTTTGTGATATTGTAATTCCCCTGCAATGTTTTTGGATTTTCTCGGGTTTGTCACAAGCATTAATTGGCCATACTTTTCTTAACAAAGCAAGAAGGAAAATGAGTAATGGCTACTAGCATTTAGCCTGCACTCAGTGATAAGGATATATTGGTGCCACATGATGAATAATTGACTCAATCAAAGAAAAGTGAAAGGATTATGACAGTATATCATCCTCTTAGAATTTGAGTCCCTTTCATCTTCTTTAACATGCATTACTCAGATTCGAATGGGAGATTCCACAGACAGTTAGTTTAGCAACATGAAACTATCACTCAAGTGTAAATTTGATTTCCATGTGATGACAGCTATAGTGGCGTGCTTCTGGAACTAGGCATTTGTTTTAAGCTCAATATACTCTATTCATCTCTGATTGCTGAACTTCATGATGTAGTTTCTCAATCCCCAAGTTGTGTTCATTGTTTTTTGCTGATATGTTAAAATTCTGAAACAGTACATGGCAAGTGTAGTTTCCAAGGTGTATGATAATTTACAAGCTGCCAATGAGGTTAGTGCTGCACGTGACCTGTAGAAGCTCACACTTATGTTTGTGTCATCCGTCATTGATTAATTTGGTTCTAAATTGTTTTGGCTTGTGTTTCAAAAGTTATTTGCTTTGTGTTGCAGGACTCACGAGCTCCGAAGAAATTGAAATTTGTTGTTGATGACATTTATGAAGATGATTGCAATGAGTGTGATAGCAAGGCTGATGAAGGCTTAGAGGAATATTTTGATTCAGTCTGTGCCCTTTGTGACGATGGTGGTGAAATATTGTGGTATGCTTATTATATTCACATTGTCTACCATAAAATTTTGTTTTGTCTCTCCAGTTTACGGAGTTTACAATTAAATTGATGAAAGAGTGTGACAATCGAATAGTTATCAGAGTATGGCAACGAAATTATTCGCTAAATACTGAAATAATGCAGAAATATGTTTTTCGTAGATAGTTAGCTCGTGTCAGTTTTCAATGTGTACTTTCTATTTGCTCATGGACTTCAATTTTGTTATTGGATCTATCACGCTGATTTGCGTCTGGAATTACATTTGTACAAATCTTACCCTTTTTTTCCTAAACAATTTGATAGTTGAACTTCTGAAAGCTTACGTTCATATCTGTCTCCTTTATCTTGTTGCTGCTAATTAATTTTTGTTATTTATATTGCTTCAAAATTCAATCTGTTATAACTTTCCGAAGTGGTCTTTGCTCTATCAATACATGAGAATAAACGCATAACTTGCACGAATGCTAAGTGACCTTATTTAGTCGAAAATGTTCAACTTAGGAGATTGAATTGCTTGCCTCTTTTTCCCTTCTTTTTTTTTGTTCTTGTTTGTTGCGTATATATGTGGTCAGTTGTGGGTGTGCTGAAGTTTGCCTTATCTTTAACCTAGGCACAATTGTGTTTCATTACTTTATTCCTGTCTTGTAAACTTCAAGTTAGCATGGTTGATATCTGACTCGTTCATTCTGCCCTTTTTTAATCTTATGTAGTTGTGAGGGAAGATGCATAAGATCCTTCCATCCAACCGTTAAATCTGGTATTGAATCCAATTGTCAATCTCTTGGTTACAGTCTGGAACAAGCAAAGGTAGGAAATATTTTTTTATTCATGGAATGTTACGGACACTAACACACTAGAACAGTTGCAGTGATCTGTAATTCTTTTGTATAAGGATTGAGTGTCCCTCTTTTGCTTTGTTTTGGGTCACACCCCATCACTTGCTCTGAAGGACTTAATCCTAATGCATAGTTTGTTCTTTCTGACAGGCGATTCCGACTTTCCTGTGCCAGAATTGCAGATATCAGATGCACCAGTGTTTTGGTTGTGGTAAATTAGGTTCTTCCAACAAATCAGTTAGTGCAGATGTAAGATTCTGCAGTCAGTTTTGGGAATGAACACAGGATGCAATCTCACTGACAAACACAGTTTTAGAATCTTTAATTTATGACTGCATCACAGAGAAACATTAAACTGATTTATTTTCTGGTTCATTGTGTAACATGTCTGTCATTCCTGGTGATTCATTGTACCGTGTATTGTATGTGTGCTAATTAACCGACATTTCTATTAAGTTAGTTCCCAGTCTGCATGCAAAAAATATATTCATAGAACAAGCATAGCATGACCATTATTACTGCTCTTTCTATGCATTGGTATGATCCCTTCTTGCTTTCCCCTAGTCTCTCCCCCAATATATCATAAAAAGTTATCCTTCTGGGCTTTCAAACAAAAAGGAAATAAATAATTTATCCTCATTTGGTGATTCATGATTTCTTCCATCGTTTATCTTTCCCAATTCTTCCAGTCTAAATAAGAAGGTCCACTTTTTACAAAGGTACATTTATAATAATTTCTAAGCCACAGTACAGAAATACACTACTTACTATATAACTTTTTCTTGATTTGCATTTGTGGCCTTGAATGTGAAGGCATAGTACTTAATATTTTAGTAAGGATGCTGAAACAAAGAACCAAAATGAAAATCTCCTTAGGAACTCCGCAGCCCCCCGTAAAAAGGGTTAATGTGGACTCTGTTTTGGAGATCATGAGGATACTATTTAGGGCATATTTTTATCTCACTTTAGATCAAAACACTATTTTTAACAGAAAACATGAGTTTGTGCTTGCATAGTGGTTAATGTGCTTTGATTGTCTGGTGGAATTTTGTGCTTGGATAATGGTGTAAGTGTACAAGCAGTTAATAACAAACATGATCTTGGAACTTTTCCTACCCAAAGACCATACCACTTAGTTCTTGCAATGATTTTTCTTCTTGTCTATGAGGTTTTGTCCATGAAAAAGCACTGTTCTAAGAGTGATTCTGTTAATCATTTGTGCAAATGCTTTGCAATGGTTTTTCTCCTTGCCTATGACCAAAATTATGTAAGAGTTGTAACATATGGGAGCATTATCAGATTATATTTTAATTGATCCTAGATTTCTGGAAGGCCTCCTTGGCTTGTGGTTCCACAGTTTGGAATCAGGAATTTGCTTAGCTCACTGCAAAATTACTGTCGTACCCATTAAAATTTGACTTACAACTGTATAGTTAGTAGAAATATTTGTGGTGAAAGATGAATGCCTACTTCTGTGTGATACTTTTTCCGTGGTAGCAGTTTATCGTTCTTCTTCAGTTATGAAATTGATTCCTCGTTTTATAATGCACCCTTTCTCACTTCATTGGCTTTTCTGTTCAAAGCTGAAGTTGGGCTACTCAATGAAATGATCTCATCTTTCCAGGTATTCCCTTGTGTTTCCGCAACTTGCGGTCACTTCTATCATCCACAGTGTGTTTCAAAACTTCTTTTTCCAAGTGACGAAGAAAAGGTGGAAGAGCTTCGGAGTAAAATTGCTGTAGGAGATTCATTTACTTGTCCCATGCATAAGTGCCTCGTATGTAAGCAAGTCGAAAACAAGAAGGTTTATGAATTGCAGTTTGCAATTTGCAGACGATGCCCTAAGGCATACCACCGCAAATGTTTACCCAGGTTTCCTGAATTTATTATTTACATACAACTTTTCCCCGTTTTTTTTTTTCAAAATAAAATAATCTAGCGTCAGTCAGGGACATAACTTCTCTTTATGTACAAACTGTTTCCTCAGAACAATAAGTTTTATAAGAGATCAAGAAAATAATATTCAGCGCCGGGCTTGGGAAGGTCTTTTGCGGGATCGTATCTTGATTTATTGCATGTAAGATTTTTGTAAGTTGCTGTTTCTGGACATTGTTAATTACTTTGTGAACTTTTTCTAATCAGGAACCACCCAATTTTACAGGGACCACGAAATCATTTCTGAGCTTGAAACTGCTAGAAGAGATCATCTACTTTTCCCTGGCAATGTTACGAAGCAGCAGTATTTATTAGGGTCAGGATCTTCAGAAGTATCGGTTAGAGATGTAAAGAGAAGTAAGAAACTTGGGTCTCTTGAACTTGAAGAAAGACCTGCAATAAAAGTGACTAGATCACTGAAGGAACTTTACGACAGCAGTATAGCTGGTGTTTCTGGAAGCAATGTTGCAACGGGTATTCCGAAAAGGAAAAGGGGTCGCCCTCCCAAGTCTTCCCTGGTTACCCAGATGTCTGTCGATGAATTGAAGCACTCAACTCTGGGGGAAAAAGAGTCATCTCATAACATCGTTCATTCAAACTCAAAGAGAGTGGAATTTCCTTCTGGCAAAGATAACAGTGCGCTCACAAAGAAGTCTTCAATCAAGAGGACATGCAGTGTTCAGCCTTCTGAAAATTCTGAGATCCAAAACAGGTAATTGCCTTATTATTCTGTGTTGTGTCCATCGATGATTTTACATGTTTCGTGGAGTGTAAGATCAGTCGTTTGTTATTAAGTTAAGATGGATATAATTCCATTGCAGAGTACTTGCGATCATAGAAAGTACTAATGCGTCGTTTGATCAAGAACAATTCGTAAAGGAGAAAAAAGAGAAATCTAGAATAAATTCATACTGCTCCAACTTCAATGTGGATAAGTCCATTACCATGGGGAAGGTGGAGTGCGCGGTGAAGGTATGCTCTTAAGCTTACATCTGCACAAGAAAAGCATGAAAGATGACAGCCATTTATTTAACTTTTTTTTTTCCTGGTTTCTTTTTTGTTAATTTCCCATGATAGTTCTATCTGGTTTTGTTTAACTGACGTTCTGTTCAGGCAATTCGAGCTGCCTTAAGAAAATTAGAAGATGGAGGCACAATAGAGGATGCTAAAGCAGTCTGTGAGCCAGAAATTCTTGATCAGCTAATGCGATGGAAGGTTTGTTGACTTCTCCTTTAGGTTAATTTTCTACAGCAGTAGATTGACTGAGTTTTGACACCTGAATGCTCTGAGAGTAGTGGTGGACTTCCACTTATCCTATCTCACACATAGGAGATACAATAGCTTTAAAAATGGCTAAGCATGGATGATACTCAATCAACTTTAAAATGAGTCAGGCTCTTGCAACAGCTGTCCTACTGTGTTGAAACCTGTACGTCTAGTTGATGTATATACGAATGGGGTATCAATTGATGTTGCTTCTCTAGGGGATATAAGATAATTAATTTAATGGAAGGTATGCGAAGTTTTAGTACTTTATAACTTTAGTTTCTGTGAAAATACTTATTCTTCTCTTAAAGGGGCATGAAGTAGTTAAATGGCCCAACTTCTCGATGTTCAGATTACGTTTCAAGATTAGTGTCACTCTTTAGAAGAACTACCCAACCCTCGTTTCTAACGTGAGTTAAGCTGCAAATAAGTTATGCAGAAGACATTGTGTATATAACCTCATAGAGCTGAGGTTAACTGTGTTTTAGGTATGGATGTCAACCAATGTTAAATGAGGCTTACTCACTATTATTTGATTTGGATAGGAATGAAAAATCATTGCCAGAGTTTAATCTCTTGTTAAGCTCTTGTATGGTAAGATGTATCATTTGCTTGTTTAGCAAGTTAAGTATGAATCTTGGAAAAATTATAGGTTCCCTTTGTGATGGAATTGATGTTATAATTTATAAGGGATCAAATTCAAAGACTAGCATTGCCAGTTCCCTTAAATTAATTACAGTGATATGATGAGAAAGTAAGAAGAGGAAGAAAGATTGTTCAGTGTTTCTACTCTTGATTGTGAATGCTATGACTTTTTGTTTAAAATCCTTGGATTAATCATCTGGTTTGTTAAGTTTCGATGGGGTATTCGAATTTCAGCTGTCATCTTTGAGCTATCAATTTGGCATGGGGAATACTTGGCTTACAGATGGTTTGGACATGTACCAACTATCGTACATAAGATGATGACAAAACAATTGATACAATTTGAAGCTTTTGATTTCTTGTGGTAATGAGTACCTGCTTGTTATAGTTGCATTGTGCGCCAAGCTATTTAGTGTACTCCATCATTTTTATTTTGGGTTGTGTTTTTGTTTCTAAATATCCAGAGGAAGCTCCGGGTATATCTTGCTCCTTTTTACCATGGTATGCGCTACACATCTTTTGGCCGCCACTTCACCAAATTTGAAAAGCTAAAGGAGGTGAGCCTCTTGCAGTGACATAATATTCTCTCTGTTGCAAAAAACTCCCTCTTCAACCTTTTGTTTTAGATGTTTTTTCCTGGACAGCAAACAAATTAATTAAGCAATTAAAGAGATGCACAATCTTTTAAACTAGATGTTCTGCATTTTTATTGCAATGACGATTTCGTGCAGTGCCACGGTCATTTAAAGATATTTTTTCACAAAAACTAGCTAAGTGCACAAGTTAGTCAAAATCTAAGGCATATGATAAGAAACTGATAGAAAATGGTACCTTTATTATGAAGGGATATCTGTTCTTTTCACAATCTGGTTTCCTTGTTCTATTGTATATGCTCTCTTCACATGTTGTTTTGCTTCTCTCTGGATAGCAAAGAGACCTGTAATCTTCCTCTTAGTAAAAATGAATGGTAGTAGATGCAAATGTTGCTATGCCTTAAACTGGAAAGCATAAACGTTTGTGCTCATACATATACTTTCTTTTTTCTTTTTTCTTTTGGTGAAAAGATTATTTCTTTGTAGTCTTTAAAAAGTTTATATTCAGGAGATATGTTTTAGATAAATATTCTCTTATTCCTTCAGTCATCTATCACACCTTTTTACCCTGAGTTATGTCCAGCTTCCAAAGATTAAATAATTGCGAAAGAATTTTTATCTCTACAACCTGCTAGTAATAAAAAAGTGTCGATTTCAATGTAATTGACTTGAGATAATAAATTTGTTTTTATCAGGATGATTCCTTTCAAATGTCACATGACGAAGCATAAGATTCAGAGTTTGCACAGAACTAGAATTTCGTTCTTACTACGTTAGCTGCTTCCTCCATTGTTTGATCTTATATACCTTATGGAGTTATGATACTTTTTATTTGTCATTTTTACATCCAGGTAGTTGAAAAACTGCAATGGTATGTGAAAGATGGAGACATGGTAAGAAAACTGAAACTTAATGACTTTGTCTTAATGTTTCTTGCCTCAACCTCAGCTATATGGATTACATGTTGCTGTAACTTTAGTACTTATTGCGCTCTTAAAATTGTTGATGTTTTTTCTTTTGTATCTGATTATGTAAATTTATTGAACAGATAGTCGACTTCTGTTGTGGATCGAATGATTTCAGTTGCTTGATGAAAGAAGCTCTGGACAAAATGGGCAGGCAGTGCTCATTCAAAAACTATGACCTTATACAACCCAAGGTGTTAAATCTTGTGCATATTCAGTCATAAGATACTGCTTTCGAGAGCAGTTACTTAGGCTGTTGTTTTTGTTTTACTTTATATTAAAAAATCTGGTTGTTTTACTTGCCACGAGATCCCTTGATCGATTTGAGTGGATGGGAAACAATCTTTTTCTTTTTGGTTGATCAATCGGTTTTGCATTAATTTGCTTTTAGTATAAGCAGAATAAGATGAATCAACTGGAAAGGTGTACGTTGTTATGCTTATCATTTTTAACTGTAATTTGATTTATCCAGTGCATCATCATAAGCAGTTTTTATCAATTGTCATAGATTGTGCTTTTTCATTTTTATGTTCTATCATCTATGCTAACTGCATGCTATTTATTTGCTGTCTTTTTTGGTAGAAATTATCTAAAAAGGACTTGAATAAGGTCTCATTATGTGCTAGAATGGAAACTAGGGTCTGGAATGTTGTTAAACTACATAGAGAGCTAGAGTTCTTCACTTCTTAGTGACGCATAGACAGATTATAAATGATTTGGAATGCAATGTGTATAATTTGTTTGCAATACTTAGGTGGTGTAGATCACAGCATATACATCTACAAAATGTCAAACAAAAGGGTTCCAAACGTCTGTTTACTCACTATCTCCTTTTCAGTTATTATTTTGTATTTGTGACCTAGATTTCGGAGTCGTAATAAGCTTGAAAACTTAATTGAGTATAATATTGAACCAAGCTTTTCAGTGTCATTCTAAGGTTTGCATAATCTAGTGATGATACTATCTCGTTGTTTGGTTTGGCCTTTTGTTTTCTTTTGTAGTTTATGATTCAGGATTAATAGGAATCAACGTATTAAAGGAAGAGTTTTTTAACCAGCTATAGCGTAAGCACCCCTAAAATTTTAGCAGGAAAAATTTCATAATCTTTCTTGAATAAACGACATTGTAGCTCTTTTCCTTGATAATGCTATTGGATTAAAAGTGCTGCAATTACGCCGTGAATGGGTCCCTTGATGATAACTCTCCCTGCCGGCACTGAGCTCGTCATGGACAGCAATGCATCCAAAAGAGCATGTTACTTGGAACTATTAGTGTCCTGTGGTGGTTGGTGTCTGTCATTATTAAGTTATTGCACAATGAGGGAAAAATGATAAAAGACCATTTGTGATTAAAAATCTCTGTGTTTCACAAGTAATATGTTGTTCATGCTTGAGATTTCTTGGAGCCTTAAGTGAATTTTTATTAGATTCAAGGATCAGTGTCGTCATTGCTCATGCTATTGTTATTATGTGATAACCATGCCTTACTGCCATTCGCAAACTAGAATTGCTAAACTTCTTCTAATCTTTCATATCCTGTCCGTCTGCTTCAGAATACTTTCAATTTTGAGAAAAGGGATTGGATGACTGTCCAAACTGGAGAACTACCCGCGGGACGTTCACTGGTTAGTTGTGCATGGCGCTATGATCTATATATGCTCTAGTTTAACCTCTGGCAATTCTCATTGTTTGTCATTAACAGATAATGGGGCTGAATCCTCCTTTTGGTGTCCATGCTGCTCTTGCCAACAGATTTATCGAGAAGGCACTTCGATTCCGCCCTAAGCTTCTGATTCTCATTGTTCCAAGAGAAACTGAAAGGTAAACTGAAACAAGTGGTTATTGACATGCAAGCATTATGATCCTATGTTTGTTTGTCATTTGCTTATGGTACTGCAGACTCGATAGCAAGAAGTTCCCTTATGATTTAATATGGGAAGATGCTGAACTACTTTCTGGAAAGGTGAGGAAGTTAGCAATTCACCCTTTGCAGTCTATCTGATTTGCTCCATCTCTCTCTCTATATAGATCAACAGTATTGTATCTGAATCCTTTGAGTGTGGTTTTTATCAGTCATTTTACCTTCCTGGGGTGTTGGATGGGCATGCTCGGCAAGTGGAACAATGGAATGTGGAGCCACCTCCATTATATCTTTGGAGTCACCCTGAATGGACTGATCGTCACAGATCTATAGCTCAAGTACATGGCCACATACGGAAGGCAGAAAATGTGAGCAAGTTTGTGTTAGAATTTGAGGTTTTTCCTTGAGAAGTAGTTTCCATCATAATGTTGAATTAGTGAATTCACTTGCAACAGTAATTTTATACTACGGTAGTATGTCCACATTTGTGAGAATTAAATTGTATGATGGTCCTCAATTTATTTGGTTTATGTTTCTCAAAAGTGAAATATGCTAGTTGAGTTTGGTATTGACCAGACAGTATGTATTTTGAATTTAGATTATAACCATCAGCCAAATGAATTGAGTGAGTGCGCCATTAATCAGAAGACTTCCCTTCCTCCTTGCAGATGCCAGTTTACCAACAGTCCAGAAGACATTATCTTCAAGCCGAGCATGACGGTGTTGACATGGAATTGTCGACTCCAACGAACTCCCCAGTAATCCAGAGGGATCCTGCAGGCTCTTTTGGCAACTACCCACCCAACACAATCGGTGTTCATCATTCTGGCATCTTCATGGATGCAACTCTGGCGCCTGGACAGTTCCCTGGTCACTCACTGCAGCAATTCCCCATCCATCCATCCAATGCCATTGGTGTTAGTGATTATGGCACCTTCAACGATGTACCTCCGCCGCCTGGACAGTTCCCCGGTCACTCGCAACAGCATTTTGGCAATGCATTTGGTGTTAGTGATTATGGCATCGCCAAAGATATGCCGCCCCCACCTGGACATGTCCCTGGTCACTTACTGCAACATCATCAGGCTGGGTGGCTTACGGAGTAGTACTTTCTCAAACTTGTGCTTATTAAATTTTTGTACATCAGAGCAGAAATCTCAGCACTGCCTTGCTTTTGCCAAGAGTTTGTTGATATGTTTAACGCTTTCATCTCCAACTGCTGCTTCTGCAGCCTAATGTATATACCTATGGGGTTGGTGATCTTTTCTCAAAATTTTAGCATCAATTAACGTATTTTAAATGTTATAAATTCTAGAAATATGAATTAAGGTCATGAAAGGTCAAAGAAAACTGAAGAGCAAGTATGTTTTCTATTTTTCCATTCCACTCTGTTCTTTCTTTTACCTTCAAACTAGGTTCATCATTCGCAGGGTACCAACTAGTTAAAAGAAATAAAGGAATTTTTGAGAGGGTAAGAAGGTAAGAGTCATAGTTCATATTTGCTTCATCCAAAAATTAGTCCAATTTGTTGGAACAAAATTAATGCAACAAAGTGGATCATTTTCAAAACAAAATAGATTATTTTTCTGAAATCGAAATGATTTGTTAACTTCGATCCTAATTTGCTAAAACAAGAATAACAAGAACAGAAATTAGTGGAGTTCGAAGGAATTGAGACATCCAGACATATTTTACTGCACTTTTTATCAATAACAAGAACACAATCATCATATATACATTTTGTATTTCAAAATGATAAAATTATAACACATACTCCCTCCATCCCATAATTATTGTCTAGTTTGGATTTTCATTTTTAGTTCAAATTGTACTAAAAATGAAATCTCAAACTGAACAATAATTTTGGGACAAAGAGAGTATAATAACCATTTTGGAAAAAAGAAAGTATATGAGATAACTGTGTTAAAAAATTAGAAACTGTGATGCACAAAAATTAGAAAGATAAAATAGCCAGAGAAGTAATTTTTTTCCATTCTAGTTTTTTTTTTTTTCTCCCGGTCACATACATCTATTTTCATTTCTTACAACTATCATAAGATAGACTCCCTAAATCCAATTTTTTTTTTAAAAAAATCCCTAAGTCCTAAGCAATTGCTTCCACTTGTAGGGGTATCAATTTATTAAAACAAAAACTTTGAGAGTAAAAGTGAGATGAGAATAAATTTGGGGGACCAAAAGCTTCGTTTTGCTCGTCAAGTTATAAGGAAGGAAATATGAAAAGGTTTACACGTCCCCATAAAACACACTACACAGTACACACACACACAGTTGCTCAGACACAGTACCACCTTCTCACCATCAGTCATCATCATCGCCGGCGATACTCTCCCTTGTCAGGAACCTGAAAAAGTAAAAAAAACACAGACAAAAATAATACTCCATTTCCACCGGCCGGCACTCCAGCTCCGGTAACTTCGACGGCTCCGGTATGAACATGGCGTTCTCCACTCTTTCATTTGCTCGAATTTCGAAGCTTCTTTTTTTTTTTTTTTGTTTTAGCATGCCGGATGGTTCACGTTCTTTGCTTCCGTTTTCAGTTAAATTTTTCATGGTTAATCATTCATCAAACAAAATTGGGGGTGGAAGCCTTGAAATTTTAAGCGTACTCCGTCTGTTGATCTCTCAGCTTCTCTTTGTTGGTTTTTGTTTCACTTTTTCCGCTTGGTATTTCAATTTTTGCGTCCGATAATGTGCTGATGATCAATGAAGATTTCTGTCTTCTTCTCCTTCTTTCTTCTTCCTTTTGCCTTTTGATTTCTATATGTTTTTGATTGTTGGTTCCTCTGTTCTTATGGTAGCTCTTGCTCTGGTTCAACTTATTGCACGAAGGTCTTCCGTGTTATTTATTATCTTATAGAAAATCGTCTTGGAAATTGGGGAATGGTGAATATGGCAGATATATTTGTTCTAAGCTGGGCTTTTGCTTAGTGTTACCAAAGAAAAATAATGTAATCGGAAATTCTGTTTTTGCTTTAAGATGCATGAATATGGTGACGCTTCGTGTCAGCTATGTGTATGAAGTATTTACGCAAAGCGTCATCTGAAATTGTTGGAGAGTATGTCATTGGGTTAAATCAACTTTTTTTTTTTTTTTTTGGGGTCATATGTAGACGAAGAGAAATTAACTGAACTGCTGGTTCTTTATGCAGGAAATGGCATCCTCAGATGAAGAGGGGGAAATTGTTCCTGATTCCGTTACCAATTTCCATTTTGTTAATGACAAGGATGAGCCAATTTCGTTCTCTGTGTTGCCAGTGAAGTGGGGTGACGATGAACAGATGACTGAGGCTTTCTGTCAAGAGAAGACATTATTCTTAATCTTACAAGGAGTAGATGATTCTGGTTTCCAGAACATATGTAAGAAGGTTATTGCCTGGAAATTTGAGCTGTCATATCTCCTGCCTGAGATATACGTGCTCACTCAAGATCAAAAGTGGATAAAGCTGGATAAACCACGGAAAAGATATGAAGAAACAATCAAATCAGTTCTAGTTACAATCCACTTTCTGCATTATGTCAAAAGAAATCCAGAGGAACACCAAGATACTGTCATTTGGTATCAATTACTGAAAGCCGGGCAAGCCAAACCCAGTTGAATCTTTCCACTTCCTTCTTTACAGTTTTCAAAAGCTTATTACTGTAATCATGTTCTCATATGCAGGACTTTTGAGGTTCCACCTTCTGAGAATGACCTTTCTGACCATATGGGATTGATTAATGAAGCCAGATTGAGGGACAAAGAAATTGCAGAATCTGAGGTTTCTGATATTGTGATTCCCCTGCGATTTTATTAGATTTTGATGGGTTTGTCACCTGCATCAATTGGTCATACTTTTTCTAAAAAAACCGAGAAGGAGAAAATGCTGGTTGCAAATACTCAGCCAGCACTCGCTGGTAAGGAATCACTGGTTCCACAAGATAAATAATAAAATTTTCAAACATCAATTGGCACATAATTAACTGAGACTGAAATGAATATCATAGTTACAAGGTTAAAGATTACAAAACATCAGAAAACTGTAATTGCATGCGTCATCTTTTTCGAATTTGAGTCCTTCGCATCTTCTTTCGTGTGAATTACTCAAACTGGATTGGAGTTTCCATAGGCAGTTTATTTAGCACCCTAAAACTATTATATTTGAGTAAATGTTTGATTTTCATTGTGATGACAACTATACTTTTGTGCTTCTGGAACTAGGCATTTATTTTAAGTTCAACACACTCTACTCATCTCTGATTGTGGAGCTTCATGATACAGTTTCGAAATCCCAAAGTTTCCTTTATGTTTTGCTAGAGTTTGAAACAGTACATGGAAACCATTGTCTCCAAGGTGAATGGTAATACACAAGATTCCAACGAGGTTTGTTCTGCCCTGTGATATCTGGAAACTCAAAATTTATTTATTCATCTTGATTGATTTCGTCTTGATTGTTCTCAGTGATGTATCAGAAGTTACTTTTGTGTTTCAGGATTCACCAGCACTGAAGTTAAAATTTTCTGTTGATGAAACTGAAGAAGATGATTGCAATGAGTATGGTAGTGATGCGGATGAATGCTTAGAGGAACCTTTTTATTCTGTCTGTGCATATTGCGATGATGGTGGTCAACTATTGTGGTATGCAGTATATTCACAGTATTTACTGTACTATTTGGTTTTGTGTCTCTGGTTTAGGGATTTACGGTTAAAAAATTGATCAAAGTAGGATATTGCTTCTTAGAAGAAAGAGTATTACAACAGAATTTATGTGCTAAATGCAGAAATATGTTTTCCGCGGTGTTTCATGTGTGATGCCCTCGGCTTTCAATGTGTATTTTCTATTTGCTCATGGCTTACAATTGTTATAGCATCCTATGGCACTGATTTCTTTCTGGAATTCGCTACATTTACACATATCTCCCCCATGTTTTCAGAAAACAATTTGATAGTTGCACTCCTGAAAGCTTCCCTTCATATTGATCTCTTTTATTATTGTTCAAGCTTTGGATCAAATTTAGCTTAATCTAATAGCTTCTTTTCTTCCTTCCACATTGGCTGCATTGCACAAGCAAATGTGTCTTAGTTCCAACTGTCCCTTTCTCAATCGAAAATGCTCTGTTATAGTTGCGTCTCCTTTATGTTACAGTTGCTGTTCAAAATTTCATTGATCTCCTTTATGTTACAGTTGCTGTTCAAAATTTCATTGATCTCCTTTATGTTACAGTTGCTCTTTTATTTTTCCAGAAACAGCTCTGGCCAATCACTTAATGAGAATAGCTCTAAACTTGCTGGAACACTTATTCACATTATTTATTAAAGTATTCAACTCAGGGCCTAAATGGTTGTCCTTTAATATTCCACTGTATCTGGTCGGTTGTAGGTGAGCAGAAGTTATGTCTCATATCTTTAATGTCAGAGTTGTGTTTCAAATAGTCCTTCGGTCTTGTAAGCTTCAGTTTTACTACGGTTGAAAATTTGAATTTGCTAATGCCATTTTATAACCTTATGCAGTTGCGAGGAAAGATGCATTAGACCCTGCCATCCAATAATCAAATCTGAAGTTTCCACTTGTCAATCTCTTGGTTGCAGTCAGGAACAAGCAAAAATGTAGTAATTATTCTTTTTACTCATGGAATAGTACATTAACACACTAGAACATTTGCTGTTATCCGTAATGCTCATGAGGACAGGGGGCTCCTCTTTTCCTCTGTTTTCAGTACAGCGCTCCGCTTGCTAGGGAGAACTTAATATTTACTGCAGTTTGTTCCCTATCACAGGTGATTCTGACTTTCCTGTGCCAGAACTGCCGAGATTAGATGGACCAATGTTTTCATTGCGGGCTTTTAGGCTCTTTGAATTACTCAGCTGGTGCAGATGTAAGATTCTTTTAACAGCTTTATAAATAAATCTAGAGCGTGCATTCCCACTGACAAGCATGGTAACAAATTTTTAATTTACGACCGCATCACAGAAAAGCAATTCAGTATTTGCCTTTTCGGGTTTATTGTGTAACAGATGTTGGCTAATCCTGGTGGTTAATTATGATATACATGTGCTAATCAGTCGACCTTTCAATTGAGTTAGTTTCCAGTTTGCATGAAAGAATCTTTGCTCAGAAGTCAGAACAAGCAATTCAGGATCGTTTTTAATCTTTCTTCGGTAGTACATGCATCAAATGACTCCTGCATGTCTCTTTTCCAAATTTCACTGTGCATTATAGAGAAAAGATCCTTTGCCTGGTGATGCATGGATCTCATCCATCATTTATATTTCTCTTGAATAAAAAGATCCTCTTTTACAGAGCATTTTTTAAATTTAAGCCATAATACGCAAATTAGCCCCTTATTAAGTAATTTTACACAAATAGCATTTATCTCCTTTATTGGAACACGTTGAACTTCCTTATTACATAATTTTACATAATTTAGCATTTATCTCCTTTATCTGAACAGATACAACTTAAATATTAGTAAGGATGCAAAGAAAAAGAGAAACTAAAATGAAACTTTAGCTAGGAAACCCCAAGCCTCGCAAGAAAAGGGTTAACTATGGACTCCGTTTTGCAGATCTTTGGAACATTATTTAGGGAATAGGCTTATCTTATTCTAATTAAAATACGATGTTAAACCTTGCTTACCTTGTGTACGGAATTCTGTGATTGAATAATGCTGGAAGCATTTAACAGGCATGTTTAACAGCCTCAGGTCCTCGGAACTTCTATTTCCTAGTTCTAACCATACTACTTAGTTCCAACCCACGATAAGAGGGAGTTAAACAGTTGTGAGGTTACATATATATGGGAATAAAAGAGGAGAACCCTTGAGAACAAAAAGGAGTGTGTGACAGGGAGTCGATTTCCTAGAAAATGGGTTCATAGTCCACTATGGAGAAATGAATGGAATCAGGCTCTGAGGCCATTGAATAGTGCAAGGAAAGGCATATGAAAGCTGTCACTGGTCCAGGCATCGGGTGAGTTTTACTTGTGCTTGGCATGTAAAGGTACTTGATATAAGAATGTACTAAGCACATAGGGCAGGCAGATGCATGTCAGGGACCGGCCAATCATTGTCCCTGATCCGGCCAATCTTCTACCCTTGGCCGGATTTCTCACCGGCAAAGGTTCCTGGGTTTTTTTTTAAAAAAATTTTTGTGGTTTTTTTAATTTTTTGTTGTAATTTTGTTGTTATAATTAATTTATTTAAATTTATTTATAATTAATGTGATTAGTTGTTGTATTATTATTTAATTAATTTAGTTAAATTTATATATAATTAATGTAATTAGTTGTTGAATGTTGTGTTATTATTTTTTATATGTTATTTAATTTTTTTTGGGCTTTAGTAACATGTTTAATTTAAATTATTAGGTATAATTTGTTTAATTTAATAATTAGTGTATATTAGGTAAGTGGTATATATTTGTTTAATTTAATTAAATTTATAGTTGTATGTGGTATTTAGTTTTAATAATTAATTATTGTTTACGTAAATGAATTAGTTATTTTGTTATGTATATTGTATTTTTTAAAATTTTATATATTTCATTTACAGGATTATGGTGGTGACGGTGTTGATTACAGTCATCATTTCGATACTAACATAAGATTCACAACTATTGAAGCCGCTGTGCTATGGGCGAAAAAGACTGCAATATCTCTTAAATTCACAGTGGTTAAGGCGTCGAAGACAGATGAGACTAAGAAATTATTACGAAGTCGAAAGTGTGTTCCCTCTAGAGATACAAAGAATCGAGTGCGAGAAACAAAAGCGCAGTATTGTGGATGCTCGTTCCGGCTTCTAGCCCAAATTCGCCCAGGCGAATCTATTTTTGGGATTCGTTCATGTCTCGGTCGTAATGGTACGCATAACCACCAGTTTGGCAGCTTCGAGGAGGGACAGATGCAGATGAGCGGCCTTAGTGATAAATCGAAGGCGATCGTTGACGAGTTGACTGCCATTAATGTAACACTGTCTGCAATGCTGCGGGCGATTCAGCAGAAATTCCCGGATGAGCACGTTGTGATCAAACAGACATACAACTACAAGAGTAGGATGCAGGTGGAAAAGAGGAAGTGTAAAACGTTGGTGGATCACTTCTTTGAGATTACTCACCAACACAAGTATATGATTATTATGGCTAATGAAAAAGGTGTGTTGAGTCATATTTTCTGTGCACATCCAGTATATGTAGAGTTGATCCGAGAATACCCGTGGTATATTGGCATGGATACTACTTATAGAACAAACAGGTATAATATGCCGCTGTTACAAATTATTGGGATGACTCCAACCAACAAGAATTTTCTGGATAGGTAATTATGAAGGATGAGAAGAAGGAGAGTTATACTTGGGCATGTCAGCAGCTTTAGGATATGATTGAATGGGAGGTGCACCCATATGTCATAGTGACAGATAGGGAGTTAGGGCTGGCAGAACCAATCAGTTTGATATTTCCAGATTCTGCACATCTTGTGTGTGTGGCACATCAACAAATGTGTTTTTGAAAATGCACGGTGGCATTTTGGAAAGACTGGTGGAAGGAGATGTTCGATCCGATACTTGAAGCTCCAACTGCGTACCTTTATGAAATGGTTGTGATTAATGTATCGTATTACAGGCACCCAAATGCGAAAATTTAAGGCGAGTTGGTGCATTATGTGAAGACCACTTGGCTAGTTTACAAGGAAAAGTGGGCTCGTGCGTGGACAAATGGGGTCACACATCTTAGAACCACAACTAATTGTAGGGTGGAGAGCGCCCATTGTTCCATGAAGAGGTTTCTTGACTCGACGATCAGCCACCTAGTTACAATATGGACCAGAATCCACGCAGCGATCGAGTATCAGTTAACTGAGATCAAGTACGTAATTCATTCATTGTTTAATTTTGTTTTTAATACTTAATTACCAATGTTCTTATATTAACAGTGAGGAATTTAAAATGTAGGTGCCATCTAACCGAATCAGAATGCCGTTCGAGGAGAGAACACCTTCAGTTTTCCTATGACCGTCTAGTTAGACGTGTCTCACATTACTGTTTGGACATTCTTCAAAGTGAGTATATTCGCATGCACCAATTGGGTGAGGATGATGTTTGTGATTGTGTGTTGAGAACGACCCATGAAATCCCCTGTGCATGTGAGCCTAAACAGAAAAGGGACTTGCAGGTGCCCATTACAGTTGCCGACCTCCACCCTTTTTGCTGCAGACTTAATTTTACAAGTGCGAAACTAATTTGGCCCCAAGTGATGATGCTCAACTTTTTTGTGTCAGAAGAGCATACGATTTTTACAGAGCTTTCCCTTAAGGCATTCAACAGGAGGCCTGAATTTTTGAGCCGCGTCAATGAGTTTCTACACCATGAGCTGGAAGAAGAGGAACACCATGAGCAGAAGAGTTTCGAGGAACAAGAGCAACACCATGATCAGATGAGTTTCGAGGAACCTACAGTGAAAACAAGTGTTAAAGGGCGCCCGAAAGTGAATATCCCGCGGAAACGGTGTTATTGGGAGAAGTATACTATTGGTTCAGGGAGATCGTGCATGAGCACATCCTTGCCTATATACGATGATAGTCGTAAGAATGTTTTGAATTTATTTTTTATTATGTCACATTTTATTTTTAAACATTTTGTTTCTTCAATGTACATAACGTGGATATTGTTTTTTTTAGGTGAGCAAAGAGGTTGGAGGACGGATTTTCATTCATTCAGTATCGGCAATCTATTCCGTCTTTTATGGTTTCCTTCGTTCGGGGGTACATTGATATGAGGAGAGATGGGAACTGTGGGTTCCGATGTGTAGCAAAGTATGTTCGAAATTCAGAAGAGGATTGACCGTTGGTCTGAACAACTATTATTCAAGATTTTATTAAATGGCCGGATTTATATGATCCTTCGTATTACTACAACAGGGAACAAAACATATGACGGTTAAGGTGGCTGGTAGGTAGATGCCTTCCACCCCATTATATGGAATGCACACAATAGTTGTACGCGATAACTACTATCTGGAATGCTGCAGTTTTTCTGTACGATCTCGGGAATACATTAGACGGGGGTTTTTATTGTTTGACAGTATTGCCCCTTACTGATCGTGGAGACGCCGGAAGACCAACACGTGTGATTGTGCTTGTTCTCTTCAGCTGTGTAGATCATTACATTTGTGTTGATTTCGGTAGTGATTTTCTTGTATCTCCTGTACATCCTTATTGGTTTAGGTGGCGTGACAACAATATTGTAGGCTGGGAAGATGAGTACCACTCTAGGATAGCAGCGTGGAATAGACTATCTAGATCTCGTTAGTAGTTGCATAATATTTATTTAAATTGTTAAAACTAGTTATTTAAATTTTATATGTTCCATTGCAAATTAAAACACATAACATAACATTCTGAAATTGGGAAGAATCTAAGAAGTAACACATAACATAACATTCTAAAATAGGGAAGAAATCCAAGAAGTAACACATAACATCCTAATAAAATACACATCAATCTCTATGGCTCAATCGGAATTCATCCTGAAATTGAGCAAACAATGCCTCATGCTCCTTTACTCTCTCTGCATCAATTTCGCAGATTGTCTCAAGTGCGTTTCTATGAATTTCGGACAATCGGTTGACCCACTGCAAAAAAAATAAAAATAAAAAAAGAAATAATTATACAATTAATAATATATTGTATAAACATTTCAAGAAATGGTTTGCAATAAAGACTTACGTGAGATGTGATTCTAACTCCATCTATAGTAGTGGCATTTAAAATCAAGAAAGGATGTGAATATTTCAAGTAGCACTGGAGGTAATTAGGAGCGCATGCAGTTTTATCATGATCATTACGCTCAAAATACTCTAGATCCAGCCTGGTACTGAATGAGAATTGCATCCAAGCATCAAACGCCTTAGTGGGCCTCCATGAAACCTTGTAGGCGTGGTGATTACCACTACAATTTGCACTCAGGGGATGAGGAATGGATGGAGGGATGACCTAGATGTATCCAATCTGGTGCAATACTCGACTAGGCTAGTATGGTTCAACAATATCTCGGAATTGTGTCCAGCCACTGTATATGGTCCTTGGATCATCGGAAATAGGATCGGGGCCATAAGGCAACTATTCAACCAATACAAAAGATATAAGATACGTTAATAACATTATTTTGCATAACTATTATTAATTAAAAGTGCGAAAAGTGACGTACTTGATCGGGTCTCAGCTTGTTGATCTGGCTGCGAAGGTGCATCAGACGATCTGGACTGTTATCAAGATTTGTGACATTCCACCATCTGGCTCAGGGTCGGTCAAGAGCCTCAAAGGGACCACTCCCGAGGTGGTCTGAAACATGGAAAGTATACATATATCCACGCCTGAAATAGTGTGTAGCAACCAGACATTAAGGCATTTTTCAATCTGGTGGACACGCCTAGCTGACGGTAGAGATAGGCTAGAGTAGCAGACCCCCAAGAAATATTGCCACAGGTGACTAGGCCATCAATAAACTCGAAGAGAATAGCCGCTCTAATCCGAGTCCCACTCCTATCGGTAAAAAACGTGTTCCCTAACATGACCCATAATTAGGCGGTCACCTGATCTAAAGCAAGCACTGCCGCTCGACCTGTCTTCGTAACAAGACCCGATTGAACCCCTCCACGTGGATTACTTTACTAGTCTGTAGCGTCTGGCTAGTCATTCTCAGCGCCCTCATGACCAAAGTCTTACAATCGACAGTCCCAGGTTGTGCTGTAATCAATCTACCTTCAACGGGAATACCCAATATCTGTCGCACGTCGTGTAACATGATGGTCATCTCCCCAAAAGGCATGTGAAACGTGTTGGTGTCCGGCTGCCACCTCTCTACAAATGCTGTAATCAATGCCTTATCAATGTTAGTGTGCATGATGTCCATGATGTGGGATAGCCCTGTACCAGCCAAAAAGATCTGAGCCTCAGTCGACATAGAACCCTTCCATTCTTCCAACAACTTGAAGTATGTGACTCTTGTATCCATCTCTAAGGAGGGTTTGTACGACTTATTCGTCAAGCGATGGGTCACATGACCAAGAAAACTGAGAATAACAGAACCGTCATGAGGGCCACCAATAACTAGTCTCGTGACAACCCAAAACTGGGCATTACTCGCTGAAATTAACGTAAACAAATCATTCAATTTTTTCCCGATAAAAAATTTGAAAAAACTTAACTACTAAAATGTAAAATATAAACTCCATACACTAATTTCTTACCTGCTGATAATGATGCAGATACAGATGCAGTTGCAGATGCAGATGCTGATACAGATGCAGCTCCAAGTCCCCTAGCCCTAAGACGAATAACATTGCTTCGTCTACCTGGAGGTGAATGTGGAGGTGAATGTGGTGGTGAATATGGAGGTGAATGTGGAGGTGAGTCACCTCCGAAATCATTAAACCTTTCCGAGTCGATATCTTCAGTCGGGACATCATCATTGTCACTCACATTCTATAAGTCCAAACTGGCATGATCAAATACATCGTTAAGTCCCACACTACTACCGGCCTGACCCATCTGTGACTCACCCTTTGACTTATGCCCAGTTGGACTCCCACAACGATATGAGGTAGAAATAACTCAATCATGCATGTCCCATGTACCCGACTCAAGCAACAATGAAGAATCAGGTACATCTTGCCTTTTCTTTTTTCTCCTTTGAACCTACATAAATGAATATATATATATATATATATATATATATATAACTACTCCACTACAATAATCAAAATAGAAATTAAAATAAATTCAATTAAATAAATTATACCTAATTAATTTATCCTGTTAACCTACATTAAAGATTATATATAAATGTTCCATTACAATAATTATTCAAATAGAAATTAAAATAAAATCAATTAAATTAATTACACCTAATGGAATATAAATTAAAATAAATTCAATTAAATTAATTATACATATTAAATTATACCTAAACCTAAAGATTCAAATATAAATTAAAATAAATTCAATAAAATTAATTATACATATTAAATTTATACATTTTTAATAGAATATAATTAAATTAATTACAAAACTAATTAAATTTTTCCCTTTCATTATAAATTAATACAAATCTAATTAAATTAATTACAACTAATAACACAACATTCAACAACTAATTATATTAATTATAAATAATTTAACTAAAATAATTATAAAAAAATTACAACAAAAAAAATTTTTTTAAAAAAAAAATGCTCGGTGGCCAGCTCGGGAACCTTGGCCGGATTTCTCACCGGCCAAGGAATATGGATTGGCCTGGTCAGGGATCGGCCAATCCTGAAGAGTGACCGAGTCAATGGTAAATTTTGGGCCTCATGAATTTATTTGGGCCTCATGAAATAGAGATAGTATTTATTTGTGCCTCATGAATTAGAGAAGAAGGTAAATTTTGGGAAAAAAAACATGCATTGTGCTTATCAAGTTACGTCTTACACACATTACACACAGTGACACTAACTACTCTCTCCATTCTCCAATGTTATGAACCTAAAACACACAGAAAACACATAGGCAGACCACCCCATTTCCACCTCCCGGCTCCGCAACTTTGACAGCAGCGCCGCCCGTTTTGCTCCTCTGCTAAGGTTTGTTTTCCCATTGGGCTGTTCTTCTTTCACTCTCTTTTTTATTTAGTCAAATTTACACTGCTTTCTTGTTTTAGCAAGTTTGGCCAGCTCAGTTGATCCCTTTCTAGTTTCCTTTATTGGTTAAAAATTCCAATTATTGATCTTTCATCATACAGAAAATGGGGCTGAGTATTTGATCTCGTGAGCGCATTCTGTTTGTGGTCTGTTGATCTCTTTAGTCCTTTTGTTTGATCTTCGTTCCGATTTTTTGCTGTAATCATCAAACATCTCCATTTTTTCCTTTTCTTCTCCTTTTTTTTTTAGGGGGGTCTCTTCATTCCTCTGTTTTTGTGTAAACAGCTGCTCTGTTTCAACTTAATACATTAAGATCTTCCTTTTTTCTAAGCAATTGTTATTTACTTTTCTTAACGCTGTCTCTGAAGTTTTGAAGGTGTAGTTTTAAAATTGTTTGTGAATTCGCCATTTCGGGTAAATACAAACTATTTTTTGGTAGATGTGTAGAGGAAGATAAACTAAAGTTTACTCTTTGGTACTATGTGCAGTTCAGGGGAGAATGGCATCATCAGATGAAGAAGGGGAAATCGTTCCCGATTCCGTCACGAATTTCCATTTTGTCAACGAAAAGGACGACTAAATTTCGTTCTCTATGTTGCCAGTGAACTGGAATGATGATGAAGAAATGACTGATACAGCTTTCTGTCAAGAGAAGACATTATTCTTACAGGGGACAGATGATTCTGGTCTCCAGAGGATCTATAAGAAAGTCATTGCCTGGAAATTTGAGCTGTCATATGTTCTGCCTGAGATATACGTTCTGTCCAAAGATCGAAAATGGATGAAACTAGGTAAACCAAGGAAATTTTATCAAGAAACAATCAGATCAATTACGCTCACAATCCACTTTCTGCATTATGTTAAAAGAAATCCAGGGGAATATCATATCATTCTGAAATTAATTATAATCATGGTTTCCATCATATGCAGGAGTTTTGAGTTCCCACCTTCTCAGAAGGACCTTTCCGACCACATTGGATTGATCAATGAAGCCAGGCAGAGGGACAAAGATATTGCGGAATCCGAGGTTTGTGAGATTGTAAATTTACTGAGATATTGGAACATAATTCAAAAGGGAGTGAAAAGATTATGATAGTTATTACAAGGTTAAAGATTACTGAAATCTGATGGGAGATTCCACTGACGGCTAATTTGGCAACATAATGCGATCATTTAGATTGTATATATTTGATTTTCATTTCAATGACAATGTAACAATTCTGGAACTGGGCATTGTTTAGTTCAAATTAAGAACTCTAACCATCATTGATTACTGAGTCTGATTTCATGGTGGGTATCCTTCATTTTTTTTTTTTTGGCTAATAACCTGAGATTTTGAAACAGTACCTGGTTTCCATTGTATCCAAGGTTCATGGTGAAACACAAGCTGACAATGAGGTTAGTGCTGCTCATGGTTCACCTGTCACTCCTTCATTTGATTCTTGATTGATTTTGCCGATGCTTCAGAGGTTACTTGCTTTTTGTTTCAGCAGGACTCGCGAGCAATGAAGAAATCGAAATTTGTTGTTGAAGATGATTGCGACGAATGTGATAGTGAGGCTGATGAAGGTTTCGAGGAACTTTCCGATTCTGTCTGTGCTTACTGTGATGATGGTGGTGAACTATTCTGGTATTGCTAAAATATTCAGGAATGTCTTTATCATTCCTTTTCATTTTGTCTCACTGGGCAATGGAGTCAAAGTTAAATCAAAGAATGTGACAATACTTCTTTTGATTACTTTAGTCCTTATGTCTTGTAAGATTCAATATAGCTAGGATTTCTGACTCTTTTCATTCTGCTATTTTATAACATTATGCAGTTGCGAGGGAAGATGCTTGAGATCTTTTCATCCAACCATTGAATCTGGAGCTGAATGCTTTTGTGAATCTCTTGGTTACAGTGAGGAACAAAAAATGATATGAAAGTTTTACCTCCTTGGATAACGAAGTCACTAAAATCTCTATTAACATGTTCTTTCTCTGTTAGGAGGACTTAATCCTAATAAAATTGGTTTGGTTTCTGTCGCAGGCGATTCAGACTTTCCTATGTAAGAATTGCCGATATCAGATGCACCAATGTTTTCCTTGCGGGCAATTAGGTTCTTCCGACAAATCTAGTGACGCAGAAGTAAGTTCCTTCTTTCACGAAAATCCAATGACATAAATGATTCTTGAGGTTCAAATGTGTGCAAATCAATTGACATTTCTATTGACCAAGCTTAAGCAGGATCAGTATAACTTGTTATTTTTCCCATGGTACATGCATCAGTTTGACTCTTGTGTGCCTTTTCAAACGTATCATTGATCCATAGCCCCCGACTAATCAATATTTGAGCCGGATAGGTATCTTTTGAGAATTAGGAGATAAGACGCTCCCAATACAGAGCATCTTTGGACTTTGATCACGGGTACTCTTACTTATTCTTTTATATATATATATATATATATATATTGCTTATAAAATCACTCAATTCGAAAATAAATAACGTAGTTAGCATAATATAATTATTGAGTGATCAAAAGCAGCAATCTGCTCTTCTTGCCGGTTCTTCTGCATGCATGGCATATGAACCGTCTTCTCCTGGATTCGATCCTGTGACCTGCTGTTTCAAGCCACCAGATATACATTTTGACGCCATATCAGCCAAGCAGCAAAGTCAACATAGACTAGAATCCTCTATAGCTCCTGCTTGTATAAATAATCACTGTCCTTTTATGCAATACGAGGAAAGTGAGTCGGTTGTAGCTTAGTATATATAGTAGTGATCACACTTCCTTTGTTTACGTAACTGAGAAAACTTCTTCCAGAATTCAGATCTCAGAATGAAGTTTCTTTCCTTCTTCTTCATCTATCCTTTTGCTGTTGAGATTTGTAATTAGATGCAGGTTTGATTTTCATGATGGTATCAGAGGAGGTCTGATCCTGCTCTGAACTTCCGCATTTTTTAGCTACTCTGATACTTTCTTTTAAAGTTCTTTTTAGGGACAATTAACCCTGAGGAAGCACATAATCTGTTTGTTGAAAATTCACAATGAATGAGGCACTTCTTCATCGAGATGTGATGACAAAGGAGACACGACGAGAATTGAATCTGCTGATTGAAGAACAGTTACAGGTACATGGTTCTGAAAATCCAGGAACACCTCTTATTTCGGTTCTTTTAAATGAGAAAAATTATTTGATTTGGAAAAATGCAATGATTCCGGCTCTTGAAGCTAAAATGAAGCTGGGTTTTGTTGATGGAAGCTTCCCAAAGCCACCTGAGGGAACTCTTAAGTGTATAAGATGGAATAGAGCAAATAGCTTAGTCTGTTCTTGGATTAAGAGTTCTATGATGCCTGATTTAGCAAAATATTTTATGTTTGTTCATGATGCAAAAACGCTATGGAGTCAACTTGAAAAACGTTATGGCACCACCTCAGCGCCTCACTTGTTTGAATTAAAAAGGGAGATTGCACTAATTAAGCAGGGAGATACATCTATATCCAATTATTATGGGAGGATTAAACAACTTTGGGATCAATATGAACAGTTGAGACCCACCCCAATAGTTGCAGGGGATGTTGGAATTTTGTTGAGGACCCGGGAGGTTGAAGATCATTCTATGGAATTACTCATGGGACTGAATGAAGTATATGAGCAAGAGAAGAATCATATTCTGTTTCTGGAACCTTTGCCACATGAGGAAGAAGTGTACAGCAGGTTGTTGAAGGCTGAAATGCATCGCCAAGTGAGTCTCAACATGATAGCAAAGGATGACAATATGGCTATGATGGTCAAATCATCTAACTGGCAGAAGAAACCACCAGTAGCTGTTGTTGATGGGCAGAAAACTGACAAGAGTACACTGCTTTGTTCTTGTTGTCATAGGACAGGTCATATTAAGGATGGATGCTTTAAATTGATTGGTTATCCAACTGACAAGCCAGTAAAGAAATGCAATTACTGTTCAAGAGAAGGACATGAACGGAAAGACTGCTTCAAGCTCAATGGATATCCAGATCGACAGCCAAAACGACAAGTGCAAGGACACAATGCAGCTGCTGTGAGTGAGGACTCCCCTTTGGAAGTTGAACTAGTAGTCCCAAGTCCTCATCAATTACAGGCGATGATGCACATGATGCAGAAGGAAATTGACAGGATGGTTAAAGGAAAGGGACGTGCAGGAGAAGGCTCAACATCTCATAGTGTCAATTCGGTTCATTTTCCTGATTTTGCAGGTAGTACTTCTGTCTCTAAGCTTTATTCTAGTGTTAATGATTATATTAGTCCAAAGGCATGGGTTACAGATACAGGTGCAATAGGACACATGTGCACTACACTATCCATCATGCATAATGTTTCCAAAGCCCCTAGATTAACACCCATTCTTCTCCCTGATAGCAGTGTTAAATATGTGACATTGGTTGGGGATGTTTTTGTTTCTGAAAGCCTTACACTTAATTCCTGTATGCATGTTCCTGGATTCAAATACAATCTCCTGTCAGTGAGGAAATTATCCAAAACTACCAGCCTTTTCTTCCATTTTTATGCTGACTTTTGCTTGCTACAGGACCTTAAATCAAGGAAGGTCCTAGCAGCTGGCAAAGTTATCAAAGAACTATACGTCCTGGATGAGGAATCCTTCACTCCACATGCCATCGCCAAGTCTCAGGAATACTATGCTTCATACATGCTACACAATCAGTTTTCTTCTAGCTCTTTTAATCCCTTTTCAGGCACCAATAACCCTTTTGATGTTTGTAATCTTATTCTAGAACCTCAGTTGCTCCATGAAAGACTTGGTCATCCTTCATATTCTGTAATGCAACATATTTTTGCAGATGATATAACTCCAAATACTTCATTAAGGAATTCAAAAAGTGATATTGATCAATGTGCCATTTGTCCTCTTTCTAAACAATGCAGAAATGCTTTTCCATTGAGTTCAATACAAACACAGTCCAGTTTTGAGATGTTGCATATTGATGTATGGGGTCCTTATAAACACCAAACTTTGACTGATTGCCGTTTCTTCCTAACCATAGTTGATGATTATACCCGTTGCACTTGGATAATCCTTTTTCAGTCTAAATCTCTAATACCTTCTTTGATTCACAACTTTCTTAAAATGATTCATACACAGTTTCAAGCCAAGGTTAAAATTATCAGAAGTGACAATGGAACTGAGTTCTTTAATGAACAATGTTCTCAATTCATGACTGATCTAGGCATTATCCATCAACGTACTTGTCCATATACGCCTCAACAGAATGGGGTTTTTGAGCGTAAACACCGTCATCTCTTACAGGTTGCAAGATCAATCCTCTTGCAGTCAAAGTTATCAAAAGAATTTTGGGGAGAATCCTTGCTCACTACCACATTTCTTATCAATCGAATGCCTTCCTCACTTTTGCAATGGAAATCTCCATATGAAATGCTATATAAACACAAACCAGATTTATCATCTTTACGAATTTTTGGTTGCAGAGCCTTTGTCTTAAACAAAGGACCAGGACGAGACAAATTTGATCCAAGGTCGTTTCCTGGCCTGTTTGTTGGTTATCCCCTAAACCAAAAAGGTTATAAGATCTATTGCCCTGCTTTGCAGAAAATTATCATTTCTCGTGACGTTATCTTTCATGAAAACGTTTTCCCTGGTCTTACAGATAATACTCCAGACACTATATTTCCCTTGATCACATTTCCAGCACCTGATCCTTTAGTGATTTCATCATCTCAAAATCATACCCATGATTCATCTGCCAACTCTCACTCCTCATTTCAGGATTCGCCTACTCCAGATCACACACCTACCTCCTCTTCTTCCTCTGATGATGAGCTTCCACCACCCAATCCACCAACTCTTAGACGTAGTACACGTGCTACAAAACCCCCCATCTGGTTACAAGATTTTGCCATTAATCAGGTTTGTGCTCCTCCATTTTCTGTCAACTCCGTTTCTGATTCCACATGTAGTTTTTCTCCTGCACATAGGTCGTTTGTTGCAAATGTATCTGATAATCTAGAGCCAAGTACTTATAATTAAGCACGAGTTAATTCTAAGTGGGTGGAAGCAATGCAAAAGGAATTGCAAGCCCTGGAATCAAATGAAACTTGGATTATGACCAATCTTCCTCCTGGTAAGAAAGCAGTGGATTCCAAGTGGGTTTACAAGATTAAAAGGCATGCTGATGGGACCATTGATCGTTACAAGGCCCGTTTAGTAGCAAAAGGATACACTCAGGTCGAAGGAGAAGATTTTTGTGAAGTCTTTTCCCCGGTTGCCAAGGTTGTCACAGTTCGAGTGGTTTTTGCATTGGCTGCTTCTAAGTCCTGGCCTGTACACCAATTGGATGCCAACAACGCCTTTTTACATGGTAATCTGACTGAGGAAGTGTATATGCATCCACCATTGGGGTATGATAAAGGAGTTCCCGGTCAAGTCTACAAATTGCTTAAGTCTATTTATGGACTTAAACAAGCTTCACGCCAATGGAATTTGGTGTTTTCAGCTAAACTTGCAGCTTATGGTTTCATTCAGTCATATTATGATCCTTGCCTTTATAGCTATTCTCACTCTGACGTTCAATTATTTTTGTTGGTCTATGTTGACGACGTGTTGATCACTGGACCTGATGAAGCACACAGATTCAGCTGGTGAAAGATTATCTTGATCATTTGTTCATTGTCAAGGATCTGGGACCAGCCAAATACTTTCTTGGCATGGAGATTGCTCGATCATCTCATGGCATTTATCTTAGTCAAAGGAAGTATGTCACAGACCTGGTCGTTTCCGTTGGTCTCCTTGATTGTAATTCAGCATCTACTCCATTTCCCCCATGCCACGTTTTCGAATCACTTGATAAGGATCCTACACCTTCTCTTATTGATGCGGCTAAGTATCGAAGACTGGTGGGCCGATTGCTCTATTTGAATTATACACGACCAGATGTGACATATGTCATTCAACAACTGAGTCAATTTGTTCATCAACCCCATGAATCCCACTGGAAAGCAGCTCTATATGTGCTCAAATACCTTTCAGGTTGCTTAAGTCGTGGTCTATTCTATTCTAGTGATTCTCCTTTAAATCTTCTTGCTTACAGTGACTCTGATTGGGGTTCCTACCGTACCTCCCGTCACTCCTTGACTGGATATTGTATATTCCTGGGAAGCAGCCACAACCTAGGAATTACAGTGGCTTTCCTTCATCCTTCGTGACTTTCATGTTAGTGTCCCTTTGCCAATTGATTTCAAATGTGATAGTCAAGCTGCTTTAGACATCACAGCCAATCCCGTGTTTCATGAAAGAACGAAACACATAGAGATTGACTGTCATGTGGTGCGTGATCAATTCAAGGCTGGATTCATCCTTCCTACCTACATTTCCACTTCACATCAACTAGCGAATCTCTTTACCAAACCCTTGACCACTTCAGTTTTTGTTTTTCTTCTCTCCAAGATGAGCATTTGGAATGCTTCTCTTGAGGGGGGGGGTATTGAGTGATCAAAAGCAGCAATCTGTTCTTCTTGCTGGTTCTCCTGCATGCATGGCATATGAACCGTCTTCTCCTGGATTCGATCCTGCGACCTGCTGTTTCAAGCCACCAGATGTACATTTTGACGCCATATCAGCCAAGCAGCAAAGTCAACATAGACTAGAATCCTCTATAGCTCCTGATTGTGTAAATAATCACTGTCCTTTTATGCAATATGAGGAAAGTGAGTCGGTTGTAGCTTAGTATATATAGAAGTGATCACACTTCCTTTGTTTACGTAACTAAGAAAAACTTCTTCCAGAATTCAGATCTCAGAATGAAGTTTCTTTCCTTCTTCTTCATCTATCCTTTTGCTGTTGAGATTTGTAATTAGATGTAGGTTTGATTTTCATGAATAATGTTGACATTTTGGAGACGTGGTTTGGTTATTTATATTCCGCTCATGTCACCATTCGAACCTTTGATGTACTTACTACCTGTTAAGATCTAGACTCTGATCATTAATTAAATATCGAACACCTTTATCATTTAAATCAAGTTTTTATTGGTGATGTATCATGGAAAAGTTATCGTGTAGCTGCTGGTGATACATAAACTTCAACCAAATCCTCTAGTGAAAATTTAAATACTCAACTCTCTTTGGAGATGTTTGGAAATTAGTAGAATAAATGAATTAGGAAATAGTCGTAGTGCCATTTTTAACTTACTTCCCGCTTGTCTCGTCGGGTACACTATTCTGTACCAACATAATAGGAAAATAAGTACATGAACTTGACAACAAACTCAGGCCCTTTGAGAGTATTTCATTCGAACTGAATTCCCTCACAATCCATGGTTTTCCGTTAATGTTAAACCCAAATAACTTCATGATAATAGAGAGTTTAAAAGTTCGTGAAGAGGTTTCGAGTTGTAAATGCAGAGTCATGAAGAAATATCCGCATCTTCCCACTATGGAAGCTGACAAGAGGAGAGGGGGAAAAGTGTGTGGTAGGGGATTTGCTTCCTGGAAAATGGGGTTATTTTTACTGTGGAAGAAGTGGGAACGGGTTCAGGATGTGGGACAATATAGCAGTGAAGAGTAACGGTTCATGTAAGATGTCACTAGCAGGGGGAAATTGATGGTGGATGATTCTATTTGGGTTTGTTTGTAGTAATGATTCAGTGAGCATATTCGCAGAGTCCGGTGTATGAGAGGGGTGGCCTGAGAATCCTGTTGGATTAAAGTTTTCTGGACAGGGGCTATTTTTCAATCATCTTGGAGCCTTTATAAAAAGCTCCATGGCTAGGGTTTGAGAATCGGACATGAGAGACATAGAGAATTGGGAATTCTTCTTGTATTCATTAAAACTGTATATACATCATAATGTACAAATATATTTATACCGTATAAACTAATGAAGTAATGCCTAAGTCAACTGACTAGTCAACTGTACAAATACTAACCTATACTATTTACAAATATGCCACTAGTCTTTTGAATCATGAATCAAAACTGGATTTGAGGTCGTTGGCAGCACATAATGCTTGAAATCCTTTATCCCCCTCAAGCTGAGAATTAAGTTGATGAAGATCAGCTAAGCTCAGCTTGGACAAGAGGAACAGAAAATGAGGTGCATGTAAAGACTTGGTAAAAAGATCCGCAGGCTGGAGTTTGGAAGCCACATACAGGGGAAGAATAAAACCAGCCTTGTATTGATTCCGAACCACATGGCAATCAATATCTAAGTGTTTAGTACGTT